GGACCAAGGAGCCTGGTGGGCTACAGTCCATGGGGTCGCAAAGAGTTGGACATGACTGAGCGACTTCATTTCACTTACCAAGTCTTAACATATGACAACTTATATCTGCAGTAGTCTATTTTAAATTGAAAACACTGAAGTTTAATTCCATTGTGAAGCTCAATATTATTGCTCCCTCCCCTCCACATTTTATATTATTGATGTCACATTTTACATGTTTTTATCTTGTGTATCACTTAACTAATTATTGTAATCATAGTTATTTTTACTATTTTCTTTTGACCATCATACTAGTTTATAAATGACTAAACCTTTACTATGTGTTTATATTTCCAGTGAGACTTGTTCATTTATGTGTTCTTGTTACTAATTAGTACCCTTTCTTTTCAGCTGAAAAAAGTCCGTTTAGCAAATTTCTTCTAGGATCCATTTAGTGGTAATAAGCACCTTTTGCTTTTGCTTGTCTGGAAAACTCTTTTATCTCTCTCATTTCTGAGTGATAACTTTGCCAGGTACAGTATTATTGGTTAGAAGTTTTTTTCTTTCAGCACTTTGAATATATCATGGCACTCCCTTTGGCTTGCAAAGTTTCTCCTGAAAAATCTGCTTATAGTCTTATTGGAGGTTCTCTTGTACAACAACAGGTTGTTTTTCTCTTGATGCTTTTAATGTTCTCTCCTTGTCTTTAACTTTTGACATTTTAATTATAAAGTGTCTTGATGTGGGTATCTTTGGGTTCCTTTCATTTGGAACTCTGGGCTTCTTGGATCTGCCTGTCTCTTTTTTCCCGTAGGTTAAGGAAAATTCAGCTATTATCTCCTCAAATAAGATTTCTGCTCCTTTCTGTCTCTCTTTTCCTTCTGGGGGCCCTATGTTGTGAATTTTAATCTGTTTGATGTTGTCTCATATACCCCTTAAACTATCTCCACTGTTTTCCATTCTTTTTTCTTTTTGCTGCTGTGGTTGGTTGAGTTCCACTGCCTTGTCTTAGAGTTGACTGAACTCTTTGTTCTACTTCATCCAGTCTGCTGTTGAACCCCTCTAGTGTATTTTTCAGTTCAGTTATTATATTCTTCAGGTCTGTGACTTCTGTTTGGTATTTTCTTATATTTTTTAAATCACTGATGAAGTTCTCACAGTTCATCTATTCAATTTGGTGAGCATCTTTATGATTATTACTCTTTATCAGATTAGTTACTTATCTCTCATTAAGTGTTTTTGTTTTCCTGAGGTTTTATCTTGTTTTTATCTTGTTTATCTTTTATTTGGAACATAGTCCTCTGTTTCTTCATTTTGCTTGTCTCTCTTGTGTTGGTTCCTATACCGTAGATGAACAACCAGTCAGTTTGGAAGGCGTGGCCCTGTGTAAGAGATGAACTTTGTGATTCAGTCCTGCCTCAGCTTTTGGTTATCTTTTAAACATCTGTCCTTGTTCAGGTAGCCTGTTACATTTTTAATACCTACCAGTAGTTGTGGATGTGCTATGACTTATCATTGTCCCAAAGGGTAGAATTTCAGCACCTGGATGCAGGTTTCCTGGAAGACAAATCCTCGGACACCAGCTTTTAAAAGTATGCAGATATGTAGAGGCTTATGAAACTAAAAGTGTTAGCTCTGCTGGCCACCAGAAGCAGGTGATCTGGAGGTCTCCCCTGAGCAGCAGTGTCAGAAACTGGGACTCCAGATGAGGGAAAAGCTCTTCTCTGGGTGATACCAGTGAGCTGGAGCAGGGCAGAGGGAGAGTGCCAAGATGGCATCCAAAGCCTGTGTTCCTCTGTAGGCCACCAAATGTGGATCAAACCTGAAGGGTGCTCCTTAGGGTGAAGCTCCAGAACAAGTAAAGAGGCTGCCTTGGGTGTGCCCATTACCTACTAATGAAGAAAATGAGCTTACTTTCAAACGGGCTTCCCTGGTCGCTCAGTGGTAAAGAACCTGCCTGCTAGGGCAGGAGACATGAATTCAGTCCTTGGGTCAGGAAGATCTCCTGGAGAAGGGAATGGCAGCCCACTCTAGTGTTCTTGCCTAGAAGATCCCGTGGACAGAGGAGTCTGACAGGCTGCAGTCCATGGGGTGGCAAATGAATTAGACACAACTTAGCAACTAAACAGTAACAGCAACAACTTTCCAATAGTTGAACAAGAAAAATCATGTTTTATAGTGTCTTCTAAAACTAGGAATTAATAAAAAACGATGTATTAATTTCATTGTAACGTGATTCTACTCCATTTTTGTGCTCTACATATGGAATACTGTACAAGACAACTAACCAGAGTCAGAATCTCAGACTTTGTCTTACTGTCACTTTGTGTTATTTTCCATATTCTTTTAGCCCCTGTTATCTGTAAAGTGGAATTTAGGCCTTTAAGGTTTATTAGGTTAAAGGTATTTCACAGGTGATGCTGTTTAATTCATTTTCTATCACATCAGGAAGCATGTAATGTCAATATTAATGCCAGTATTAGTGACCCCCAAATTTCTTCTGTGAAAAGAAATGATTTTTCTTTTGATGCGTTGACACCATGTGAATATCCTATTTTTCATAAACCTTTCATCTAGGATTTTGCCATACAATGATGATCCTTGCTGAATCAGTTTCATTATGTATTTCTCAGCTTTGATGCCTTTCTCCCAATTCCATTGACAGTCTCTTGTCACTTAGGGAATGAGTAGAGTCCATCAAAGTGGTGGGCAAGAAAATGAGTTGAGGATCTCAGTTACAGGAAACAGATAATGGTATCTAATTTTATGTCACTTTTTTGAAGTTGGATTTTCAGTTCTTTTGAAAGAAAATACTGATTAGGAGCTGAGAGACATAATTAGCAAATTATGTCTGATAAATGACTTCTTGGTAGTGATTGGAAAATTTTTTTACTTGTAATCAGGTTATGTCAAATAAATTAGTGTATGTTAAGATTTCAGTTCAGTTCAGTCACTCAGTTGTGTCCAACTCTTTGCGACCCCATGAACCACAGCACACCAGGCTTCCCTGTCCATCACCAACTCCTGGAGTTTACCGAAACTCATGTCCATTGAGTCAGTGATGCCATCCAACCATCTCATCCTCTGTCGTCCCCTTCTCCTCCTATCTTCAATCTTTCCCAACATCAGGGTCTTTTCAAGTGAGTCAGCTCTTTGCATCAGGTGGCCAAAATACTGGAGTTTCAGCTTTAACATCAGTCCTTCCAATGAACACCCAGAATGGATTTCCCTTAGGATGGATCTCCTTGCAGTCCAAGGGACTCTCAAGAGTCTTCTCCAGCACCACAGTTCAAAAGCATCAATTCTTCTGTGCTCAGCCCTCTTTATAGTCCAACTCTCACATCCATACATGACCACTGGAAAAACCATAGCCTTGACTAGACGGATCTTTGTTGACAAGTAATGTTTCTGCTTTTTAATATGCTGTCTAGGTTGGTCATAACTTTCCTTCCAAGGAGTAAGTCTTTTAATTTCATGGCTGCAGTCACCATCTGCAGTGATTTTGGAGCCCAGAAAAATAAAGTCAGCCACCGTTTCCACTGTTTCCCCATCTATTTGCCATGAAGTGATGGGATCGGATGCCATGATCTTAGTTTTCTGAATGTTGGGTTTTAAGCCAACCTTTTCACTCTCCTCTCACTTTCATCGAGGGGCTCTTTAGTTTTTCTTTACTTTCTGCCATAAGGGTAGTGTCATCTGCATATCTGAGGTTATTGATATTTCTCCCAGCAATCTTGATTCCAGCTTGTGCTTCTTCCAGCCCAGCATTTCTCATGATGTACTCTGCATATAAGTTAAATAATGTTAGATGTTAGATTTAACAAGGCACTAAAAAATACCACCCCCCTGTCCCCGCCCAGAACACTTAGTTAATTCAAGAGTGACTTAACAGTTATGTTCTAAACACATTAATTACTTGTCCTCTGTCCATGGCAGTTCTCCAGGCCAGAATACTGGAGTGGGTAGCCATTCCCTTCTCCAGGGGATCTTCTCAACCCAGGGATCGAACCTAGGTCTCCTGCGTTGCAGGCGGGTCCTTCACCAGCTGAGCCACAAGGGAAGCGTTGTTTTAGAAGGACTATCAAATTGATGAAAGTGACATAAAATATCCTATGCCAAAATGAGTTTTAAAAACTTAAGGTGGAAATTTTTGTTCAAATGTAACAGAAGTAATTGTTCTTTAGAATACCTGTATATTTCATATATGATGCTTTCTTAGGTGCAGTGAAGAGACTGTGGCATAAATAATGAGACATTTGTCATCTAGCATGAGAAATCCCAAAGGCTTGTCTAATTCAGTAGCCTGACTATGTTAGTATTCTGGGTCATTTTCTCTCTGATTCTTTTTTCTATTATAGCCACATATGGTTGTCCTAGGTCTAAACATTATGTTCTTACACTGCAAAATCCAAAAGCTGGAAGGAAGAGCAAGGCCTTCTTCATAAAACTCTCTCCCCCTGCCCCTCCCCCAGATGGAAAATCTTTCCTGCAACCCTCAGCAGACTTTCCTATATGTCCCATTAGCATAGTCAATCTGAAATCAGTTGCTGACAAGAGGAAATGAGGCTCTCGTTATTCCCTTAATACAGTGTTGGTTCGCCCCCTAGATTGGGATAAGGGACCCGCCCATCTGAGCCTGTTGGTGGTTTGTCATCACAGAGAGGGGGAGGCTGATGGGTAGACAATCAGTATTATATGCCAGATATAGTGATATAGTTATGTTGTAGTATTTTCCATATCCCATAGAAGAAATATTCCCATTCAGATACTATTTTAATATTTTAATGTTTAAAAGAGAGACATGAACCTGAAAAGCATATTATCCTATATGTGCTGGTTTGTGGTTGGTATAGCAAGGCAATGTTTTGGCAGTAATTTAATATATTAGTCACTTACTGTTCTTATTTTTGTCTTGTGTACAGTCACTTTATTCCCCTCTGAGATTAAGCTCCTCAGTGCTGTTACATAATTTTAGCAGTAGTTTCAAATTCTTTATATGTAATTGGTACTTGTTCTCGTAGGTGGCTTCTCCACTGTTTTCCTGGTGCGGACGCATGGTGGACACCGTTATGCATTGAAGCGAATGTATGTCAATAACACGACAGACCTCAACATTTGTAAAAGGGAAATTACAATTATGGTAAGTGAAAGAGTAATTCCATTTGAAAAACTTGTATCAGCATAACATTAACCAGCTTTTAGGCAAGCTGCTTATGCACATCCTGACAACCTTTGAAGTGTACTCTTTAAAGCCACACTTAGGGCTAAATACAGCCAACTCCTACCTCTCCTCCCTTGCTTATAGTAGTTCAACAGGCAGGCTTCTCTGCTTTCTTTTTTTCTATTTAAAATACACTTTAATCATGGAATGTTCTTAGAATAGAAAAATTGAGAGGACTAGTGAATGCCACTTCATCCCCTACTCAACTTAAGGATTGAAAGCTTACAGATACAGATGAAGCCTTCTGTGTATTCCTCTCCAATGTCATCTTTATACTGTTATCCCAATCCAGAAAGAAGCCCTTATCCTGAATTTGGCGCTTACCATCCCCGTGGGTATTTAATAAAAGTATGTGTTTGTGTTCACAGGCAAAACTTAGTTTTGCTTTTCATTTAAAAAATCATGCTGTAGAATTGATTTTTTTGCGTAGGTGTGTACTCTAGTTATATGGTAAGGTATGCTTCAGTAAGGAAAAAATTTCTTCTAGGAAAAGTGAAAAATACTTTACTAAGCCATTAAAGAAAATTTCAGTAATTCAGTTAACTAGACTAACCAGTTCAAGAAAACTACAGAATAAGTTTCCTTTTTGTCTCGAGTTGCTTATTGTCAGTGCTCTGGGGAGTTTCTTACTCTTGTTCCCCCTGCTCCACCTTCTCTCTCCTGTTCTCCTCTTCCTCCTCCTCATCCATTCTTTATCAAGTCTAATATGTATAGTTAATGTTTTTGTTTTATTGTGGCAAAATTCACACAATATAGTTTTTATAATTCACATTTTAAAGTGAACAATTCAGTGGTATTGAATGCATTCACGGTGTTGTGTACAGTCTGCCCCTATTGTTCTAAAGCATTTCATCCCTCCAGAAGGAAATGCCTGCCATGAAGCAGTTACTCCCCATCCCATTCTTGTTCAGGGCCTGGCAACTACCCAGTCTATGTTATGTCTCTATGGATTTGTGTCTTCTGGATATTTTATATCCATGGAAGCATGCAGTATGTGACCTTTTGTGTCTGACTTCTTTTCACTTAATATATTTTTAAGATTCATCCACATTGTAGCACTTATCAGCACTTGATTCCTTTTTATGGCTGAATAATATTCCATTATATATGCTATGCATATATATCAAAATTTGTTTATTCATCTATTGATGGACTTTTAAAAAACCATTGTGATGGTCATTTGGGCTGTTTCTACTTCTTGGCTATTGTGAGTAAGTGTTGCTATTTATATGTGTTTATATCTGTTTGTTTGAGTGTTTATTTTCAGTTCATTTGCTATATGTCTAAGAGTGCAATTGCTGGGTCATACAATAATTCCATGTTTAACTTTCTAAGGAACCATTAAACTGTTTTCCACAGCAGTTGAACCATTTTATATTCACACTAGCAGTGTAGGAAGGTTCTAGTTTTTTCACTTCCTTGTAAATGCTTGTTATTGTCAGTCCCCCCCAACTGCTAAGAGGGAGATTTTCTTATTTTGTATCAGCATCTCTATCAACACACATGCGGTTTGATCCTTTTTGTTTTAAGACAGGCGCATTTATACAATATGACTTACCTGAATTCTGCTTTTATTGTCCCTATCCCTCAGCTCGACTAGAGTTGATTAGACTTTGAGACTTGCTTCTTTTCCAGGTGAGGCTGTTAGTCAAAGGGGGAAAAGATTTACTCCGAGATAATAGGAAACCTTAGACAGTTTTCTAACTTGAGCCCAGATACGTTACTATTATATTGTAATAGTGCCTTCAATAGAATTTGTTTACGTTTGAGATATATAAAATGTAGTCATCATCAGTCTCAGTTAACACTCAGATCTTAACGCTTTGAAAGAAGATAGTTTGGTGAGATGAGCAGTTGTCTTCCAACTGTTTTTTGATGACCAGTCCTCCATTATTTATGTTTATTTGTGAGTTATTCACATGTTCAACTGCCACTAGCTAACATCTCAAATTATATTGCATAGTTAAAACTAGGTTTTTTCCTTTAATGATAGTGGATGTAACTTACTTTAAACTTAAAGACAAAATGAATTTAGATCATTATTGTTTTTAACCTTATTATATATTGATGAAGTACTATATTTAATCTATAGTTTCTTTATAGGAATCCTATTTAGCTACTTGTTTATTTTTTAGGTTATTTAGTTGAAAGTACATACATTCATAAATTCTTTTAATTAGGTGGATGTAAATTGCAGTCTGTTGCAGAGAAAACAGACAAATGAGAGTATAGCTGTTAGTTTAGGAACTAAAAATTCATATTTTAAAATACAAATTTAAAATACCATATAAAATCTGGTATTTTATTCTTGCATCCCACAGTGCTATCTTGTGTATTCACTTTTGAAAGAGTATTGTTTTGAATGAACAAAAATGATGTCTTTCTTCTCCATTGAATTTAAAAATGAGTATTCATTAACTTTCTGTCTGTTACAAAATGACAGTCATGTGTAACTAAACTTTCCATTGAAACTGTAGAAATTTTTTTAAACATGTCAGATTCCATACTTAAATCTTACTTTTTGAAATTCTTTAAATATATTAGTTTAAACTTCAAATCATTAACAATAGATGTTTAAAATACATGTTTTCCAGTTTTTAAAAATTTTTTTATTTTTTGCAGAAAGAGCTATCTGGTCACAAAAATATCGTGGGTTATTTGGACTGTGCTGTAAATTCAGTTAGTGATAATGTATGGGAAGTGCTCATCTTAATGGAATATTGTCGAGGTAAGTATTTCTCTGCATTTGTTTTATGCCAAAGGAATTTGCTCATAAAATGGGTTATTAGGTGTCTTGGTTTCTCCCTGAGCAGCTGTTATCTAATTGTGGACACTCATTGCACCTCAGCTTTAATTATTTGTCTAATTAAGGAATGCTGTTGAAAAGTAATTTATAATATTGTTGCATTGGTGATATGAGCACATGTAAATGGACAATTAGAAAAATGCCTTTGGGTTTAAGATAGGGAATCTAAGCAATCACATTTCCTGATCCCTGTATGTTTCTTTTATGGTCTAACCAAGAAGAACATGCTGTGTCCAAATTAGTATTATAGGATTTTTCCAGAATGCTACTATGTTATCCTTGAGCATATTGAATGTAATAAATTTAAAGGATACATTTTGATGTATAATTCTTATAAATTTATGTGGTCTTTTGTAAACATCAGAAGATAGAAGACCACTTTTTATTTGGATTTAATGTGGTATTTTCAAAGAAATATTTCAAAGAAAAAATTAGAAATTGTAGAGTATGCTTATGAATTATAATCAAAGTGTTGACTCTTTTTTTTTTGGAACTTTAACATGTGTGAAGGGATCAACTAGTCAATTTCCTGCAAACTGCCTTCTTCCGCCCATGCACACCTGCCTCCCCTCCCACCTCCCCGAATGTAACTGGCAGTTTGGGTTCTAGGGAGACCTGTTTTATATTTAGATTCTCGTAAGACAGTTATGATTGTTAACTATCATACCAGGAACTCTGGTCAGTTCCTGAAGTTTGGAGAAGGAGGAGGATGGTGATGGTAATTGAAAAAATTTAGTCTTTATTTTACTCCAGTCTTGTAAGAAGGGAAAGACAGAGGAAAATGAAGTGAATCAGTATTATAATATCTATTGTGATATGCTTGTAACTTATTTACATATATAATAGAAACAATTAGATATTTTTGTGATTGTTCTTCCTTATTTTTACCTACTATACTGTAAAACATTATGATCCCTTGAAGGAGATAATACTGATTTTCCTTACTTTCCTAGCATTTAAGGTGCTAATTCTTAGCTCAGTTAGAGTTGACTAATAGCCCTTGACTATTGATAACTTTTTAAAAATAATTGAATTGAGCATAATCATAACCCTGAATGAGTTTAATTAAAATTGTCATTCAGAAGACATTTTCAAAGGGGAACCAAACGAGCTTCAGTTTTTAAGGAAGTGAGTATTTGGAGGCCAGTGGTACAGTCTGTGACAGATGAAATTTAATTATCTTGTAAAAAATAAAGTCACATCAGTATTTAAATAAGATGGTAGGTTGCACTGTATGTCATTTTAAATTAAATGGTAATGAGTGCAATCTCAGAGATATGAAGATTGTTGAGGCTAGAAAAATGGTGACTTTTAAAATTTTAATCCTGAAATAGGGCAGAGTATAGAAGTTTTGGTTTAGGGGTTGATACCTGTTTGAAAAATATGTAAAGATTTGGAAGTTACCCACATCTTACTTTAAAAGACCTTCAGGCTTCAGCAATATTTACTTTTTGGATATGATTTAAAAATTTTTCATTTAGAATAATTTTACTTTAATGTCTTGTCACTCAGTTGTGTCTGATATTTTGCAGTCCATGGACTAAAGCACATCAGGCTTCCCTGCCCTCCTCCATCTCACAGAGTTTGCTCAAACTCATGACTGTTGAGTTGGTGATATCATCCAACCATCTCATCCTCTGTCGTCCCCTTCTCCTCCTGCCTTCAGTCTTTTGCAGCATCAGGGTCTTTTTCAGTGAGTCAGCTCTTCGCATTAGGTGGCCAAAGTGTTGGAGCATCAGCTTCAGCATCAGTCCTTCCTATGAATATTCAGGGCCGATTTCCTTTAGGATTGACTGGTATGATCCCCTTGCTGTCCAGGGGACTCGAAAGAGTCTCCTCCAGCACCACAGTTCAAAGGTATCAATTCTTCAGGCTCAGCCTTTTTTATTGTCCAGCTCTCACATCTGTACATGACTACTGAAGAAACCATAGCCTTGACTTTTCGACATTTGTGGGCAAAGTAATGTCTCTGCTTTTTAATACGCTGTCTATTTAGAAGACTTTGGTTTTGAGTTTCTACATTAGTAAGTGCGGCTTAGATAGAGCTTTTAGCTTTTTATGGGAACTTAGATTTTGTGATTCAAGGCTTCTAACCCAAAGATCTCTAAAGGGAAAAAATATTGACTAACTCTTTGTTTAAAATTTATTCTACTCATTAAAACATTGAAAGTTTGCAAGAGGTAGAATGAATTCAAAGTTATGATTTCTTTAGCTGTGAAATGATAGTTGAATAATGGTGAATGTTGTTGTTCAGTCACTAAGTTGTGTCTGACTCTTTGTGACCCCATGAACTGCAGCATACCTGGTTTCCCTGTCCTTCACTATCTTCTGGAGTTTGCTCACGTTCATGTCCATTGAATTGGTGATGCAGTCTAACCATCTCATCCTCTGTCGCCCTCTTCTCCTCTTGCCCTCAATCTTTCCCAGCATCAGGGTCTTTTCCAATGAGTTGACTCTTCATATCAGGTGGCCAGAGTATTGGAACTTCAGCATCAATCCTTCCAATGAGTATTCAGAATTGATTTCCTTTAGGATTGACTGGTTTGATTTCCTTGCAGTCCAAGGGACTCTCAAGAGTGTATGTGTGTGAGTTGCTCAGTCATGTTGACTCTGTGACCCCATTGACTGTAGCCAACCAGTCGCCTCTGTTCGTGGAATTCTTCCAGGCAAGAATACTGGAGTCTGTAGCCATTCTCTTCTCCAGGGGATCTTCCCGACTCAGGGATCAAACCCAGGTCTCCTGCATTGCAGGCAGATTTTTCTTCCCATCTGAGCCATCAGAGAAGCTTGAATAATATGAGTAAACACCAATAAACCACTTCTTTTACTGTTTAATTTTTGCATAAAATGAGTCAGGACATCTAACAAAGTATGGAGAAAATTGCTGCATAGTCAGGTGCCTCAGTCTTATATGAGATACTTCGAACAAATTATAACCAAATAGACCTGAATTTTCTGAAAATTGAGGATTCATGGGCAAAATTAATGTTTTTTCCTCTGCTTTAAAGTTCTAAGGAAAAACTAGCTATTTCAGAATACATATGAGAATGCTGTTTAGACAGTAATAATAGAAGGAACAAGTGTGTATACACCTTCTTCAGTTCAGTCACTCAGTCGTGTCTGACTCTTTTGTGACCCCATGGACTTCAGCATACCAGGCTTCCCTGTCCATCACCAACTCATGTCCATTGAGTTGGTGGTGCCATCCAACCATCTCATCCTGTGTCGTCCCCTTCTCCTTCTGCCTTCAATTTCCCAGCATCAGGGTCTTTTCCAGTGAGTCAGTTCTTTGCACCAGGTGGCCAAAGTATTGGAGTTTCAGCTTCAGCATCAGTCAGTGAACATTCAGGACTGATTACCTTTGGGATTTGATCTTGCAGTCCAAGGGACTCAAGAGTCTACTCTTAAACACAACTCGAAAGCATCAATTCTTCGGCACTCGGCTTTCTTTGTAGTCCAACTCTCACATCTATACATGACTACTGGAAAAACCATAGTTTTGTCTAGAGGGACCTTTGTTGGCAAAGTAATGTCGCTGCTTTTTAATATACTGTCTAGGTTTGTCATAGCTTTTCTTCCAAGGATCGAGTGTCTTTTAAGTTCATGGCTGCAGTCACCATCTGCAGTGATTTTGGAGCCCCCCTCAAAATACAGTCTGTCACTGTTTCTATTGTTTCCCCATCTATTTGCCATGAAGTGATGGGATCAGATGCCATGATCTTAGTTTTTTGAATGTTGAATTTTAAGCCAACTTTTTCACTCCTTTTTCACTTTCATCAAGAGGCTCTTTAGTGCTCCTTTGCTTCCTGCCATAAGGGTTGTGTCATCTGTGTATCTGAGGTTATTGATATTTCTCCCAGCAATCTTGATTGATTGCAGCTTGTGCTTCATCCAGCCCAGCATTTCGCATGATGTACACTCTGCATATAATTAAACAAGCAGGGTGACAATATATAGCCTTGATGTACTCCTTTCCCAATTTGGAACCAGGTGTTGTTCCATGCGCCTTCTTACACATTACAAAATAACAGACATTCATTTATTCAAACTTGTTAAAGGAAAGTTTCAAACTTAAACACAAGCTTTCCTTTTTAAATTTCCAAACTTTATTTAGGTTAGAATGTTTTCTGAATGAATCATATATTTGTATTCTGAGAATATGATAGTAAACTTTCTCTTAGTATAAGAATTGTCACCATTATGCTATCAGTTATTGTAGTCCACTCAATACTTATTTAATAACTCTCTCGGGGCTTGTTGGTGTGGCTGTTTGACTTTGGTAAGTTACTCTGCCCTGGTAAGTTATCTCTTAACCTGGTTTAGAACATTAGTCCCTTATACATCTCTTTTTCTCTCTTGTGATTCCTCCATCCCCCTGTTAAGAAGATCTTTTCAAAATCTGATCAGAAAGTTTCCTTGATTCTCAAGACAAAATCTTAAATTTCTCTCTCTCTTGTCAGTATCATCTTTATTTTACTCTCTTCTTGATGCTTTCTAGACCATACTCAAATTGGTTCTCTTTAAGTTCTTCAAAATCATCAAACTGTTTCCCAAACTAGAGGCCTTTTTACATGTCACTTGCTGTCACTAGGGTGTTCTCCCAAATCTCTGCCAGGTTAATTTCTAGTTAACCTTCAGTTTAAACATAAAGAATCACTTCCTTAGACAGGCCTTCTCTGCCAGTCTCTTCTTCCCATCCTTTACCAATTTAAATTTGGGTTTTTCTCATATTATCATTGTTGTATGTAACTTTAATAAATATTTATGTGTGTGATTGTTTAGTAATTTATCTCTACCTTTAGGTATAAATTTTGTGATAATAGATACTTTATTTTTGCTCACCACTGTTTACCCCCGTAATTAGCATAGTTGAATAACTGTTGCTTCAAATTTGTGATGCCATCAGTTACAAGATACCTCTTGATTTTGTTAAAATGCTAAATTGTTAAAATGTTAAAATTATCAGATATTCTCATATCAAAGATGTAAAATGTGAAAAAAAAAATTATGTCATTGAATCAACAGAATATGGTGTATAATAAGCATTTTTACAGTAAAATAATGAGAAAGCTAGTTTTCCATTACCTGAGACCGTAAAGTCATTTCTTAATTTCTTTGTCTGTGGTAGTCTTCAGTTATTAAAAATGTCATCAATATTACTTTTTTTGGTTAGCTGGGCAGGTAGTGAATCAGATGAATAAGAAGCTGCAGACTGGCTTTACGGAAGCAGAAGTGTTACAAATATTCTGTGATACCTGTGAAGCCGTTGCAAGGTTGCATCAGTGTAAGACTCCGATAATTCACCGGGATCTCAAGGTAGGAACTTTAGACTCCTTATGGCTTACTACCTTTTAAATTTCGGAGTTAAAATGTCCTTGGACTGTCTTCATCTAAAGCCATTCTTGTTACCAGCACTCAGACTGGTCTCTCCGTTCTCCGCTGCGTTCCCTGAGGCTGTGTAAAGACTGACTGTAGAAGTGAAACTGTGCTTTCCATGACCCTGACAGTTTCTCATATGGTTGTAGGAGTGGATTTTGTGCTCCCTGCTCTGCTTCTGTTGTACTGAGCAGGCTTCTTTAAAAGGTTTCATATGAACAGGAATATGAACGTCACTGACGCAGGTGGGATGTCTCTCCACACTGTCCTTCCAACACTCCTCCTGTTTCCTGTAATTCATTTTAAGCATCAGGGAATTTTCCAGAGATATTGGAGCTCACTGTAAATGGGTCTCTTTACTTATTTATTTATAATTTACTACAATTTTAGGTAATTTCTTATAATTTGGTGGTGATTGTCACTTTAAGGTCACTTTGTCTTTCATATTCATGGAATCTGACCTTTTGTATATGGTACCCACCTGTTACACTGGAAAAAGTGCCCTAAGGGGATTGAAGATTCCTGAAATTACATTGCTTGAGCTATCACTACATTCTTTAGAAACATAGGTGTCTTCTTTGATACTTGGAAACACTAAGATTATAAAAATTCCTCTTCCTGAAATGTTCTATGCCCAGATATCCCAAGGTAAACCTTTCCCCCACTTCAAGTTCACTCAGATTCACTTTCTCAGAGTCCTATGCTTGTACCACCTTACTTATAATTACAACATAACCTTTCCATTTTCTACTTGTTCTACCGTTTATTATCATTTGTCAGTTTCTCAGGTACTATGTAATTTGCTTATGTTTTAAGACTGTTGTTTTATTTTCTGTCCTCTTCCATTGGAAGGTAAGCTCTCTGGGAGCAGGGATTTCTCTCTTTTGTTATGATGTATCCAAGCATTTAGTACAGTGCCTGGCACATAGCAGAATCTCAGTAAATATTTACTAAATGAATGAATCCCAATTCTGGCTTCTTATTGGGATTCCCAGGTGGCACTAGTGGTAAAGAACCTGCCTGCCAATGCAGGAGACATAAGAGAGGCAGGTTTGATCCCTGGGTTGGGAAGATCCCCTGAAGAAGGGAATGGCAATCCACTCCAGTATTCTTGCCTGTAGAATCCCCATGGACAGAGGAGCCTTGGCAGGCTATAGTCCACAGGGTCGCAAAAAGTCAGATACAACTGAAGCGACTGAGCACTCAGCATAGACAACTTTGAAAAGTGACAATAAAATGCTCTCAAGATAGAATAGAATATGTTACTCAGAATATAGGTTGTTAACCATGAAAGCATCTTTTAGGGAAACTTATGCTAAAGAATACAAGCTAAGGTAAGATCACAGTGTTCGACTCCACATCTCTGTCTCTTAATTTGGATAATCAGTGTAGCATCTTTGATTTCAGTTCTTCTGGATATGCAGCTCTTTTACATTTTCCCTAATAATTTAGTCAGATGTTTTTGTGCTATTTTAGCTCATTAACTTTTTTAATGTAAAATTGATGTTTTCAGCGAAGTCTTCCTTGGTTTTCAAACAAAGACATTGAATTGCATACTTTTATATAGACCATATTGAATAGAATTAGTTGTTTTTACGTGGAAATTTATTCAAACCTGCTTAAGTAGATATTTTTAAGTAGATTTCTTGTATAAATCTTTATTTTGTACCAGTATGTTTAAAAGTAAACTAAAATGAAATATAGAAGAAAAATTATAAAGAAACTAATGTGAGTATTTTGGTAGAGTGGAGAGAAATTTAATCGCTCATTCAAGGCTATATCATAAAAATAAAAATACTGTAAAAAAGTTAATAATAATAGTGTCATTTATTGTATGCTTACCTTATTTCTGTTGTGTTCTAAGCTTTTTACATGTTTTAATACATTCAGCTTTTACAGTTTCTACAACAGTCTCATGTAACAGAGGTCATTTCCCCCAGTTTATAGGTGAGGAGACTGCAGCATAGAGGGGTTATGCAAACTGTCCAGAGTACATGTGATAATAAGTGGCACAGTTGGCCTGTGAACCCACACTCTCCTGTGTTAGACACTGTGTGCGTAACTTTATTTAAGTTATTTCGACTCCGATCTCTAAGTTCAGACACAAAGTTAGATCTGTTTTTCAGTGTAGTATTTTGGATAAAAATGGAATTAGGAGTTAATCAGAGGTAGACTTGGAATGGTTTTTGTTTTTTCTGTAGAAAAACTGAAGTGTCAGAAAAGGAGGGAAATGGAGGGAGGGTATAGACTCACTGCTATTAGCAGTTCTCTTTTATAGAAGCATTATAGAGAGGACTTACAGTTACCTGAGGGCTTCCCAGGTGGCTCAGTGGTAAAGAATCCACCTGCTAATTCAGGAGATACGGGTTTGATCCCTGAGTTGGAAAGATCCCCAGGAGAAGGAAATGGAACCTGCTCCAGTAGTCTTGCCTGGGAGATCCCATGAACAGCGGAGCCTGGCAGGCTACAGTCCATAGGGTCACAAATAGTCGGATACAACTTAGTGACTCAACATGTTACAACAAAAAGGGTGACTTGGCTCTTGCAAAACTCATCCTGGGATGGAAGAAGCACTCCTCTGTTCTTAGTGAGAGAAGCAGTAGATAAAGTAACATGTATTTTTGTTCTGAATCATTTGCCCTTTCTCACAGTTTGAGGTGCCTTCTCTCTATATATACTTGTGTATGTGTGTGTGTGTGTGTGTGTGTGTGTGTGTGTGTGTGTGTATAAAACATGTCCTTTGGTGTTTATTGTGTAAAAACGTTGTAAAAAGACAATTTTCACTTTGAAAATACTACTAATTATTGATTTTCTTTTCTGAAGGTAGAAAATATTTTGTTGAATGATGGTGGAAACTATGTTCTTTGTGACTTTGGCAGTGCTACAAATAAATTTCTTAATCCTCAAAAAGATGGAGTTAATACAGTAGAAGAAGAAATTAAAAAGTAAGTGTTAATTTTGTTTTGTCTCATGAGAATTTTAGTTAACTTGAGTCTGTGACCAACTCTGCTAGTTTAAACTTTAGATATTCCATTAATAGATCTCTTTAAGATATTTCTGTGTGATATAATTGATTAGTTTATGTCTCATCTAGTTCAATAGGAAATACTTTTTACCACATAAGCAAAATTTTCATCTACATTGTAAACAAATTAATCAAATTTAATAAATTTGTTAAATAAGCTGTAGTAATTAGTGGAATCATTAAAGGGAGTTTGAAGTTATTATTGAGTTCAGTTAAACATCTTTGTGTTTATTGATACTGAGTGAGGATTTGTGCTTGTTAGGAAGAATATTTAAACTTTGGCCTCGTATTTACTATTAAGAAGTTGATATTATTGCATTGAAAACTGTGTGGAAAACTTGTTACTTTATAATACTGTTTTGGAGAACTCTGTGGTAGAAATATAAATCATATCTGCCTTATGTTTTCTTAACCTTGTATTTTCCATGGTTGCTAGAGTATTGTAAGGAGTTTCCCCTGGCTTTTCTGTTTTCTAGTTTTAGAAAGTAGTACTGTTTGTAAATCTTTGATCATCTTAATAAAATGATGCAGAATGCAGAAAGATCTGTCAGAATAGGAATTTCTAAGTAGCTCCCTTTTTCTAAGTTACTTTTCTTCACTTCCTCACAGATTCTCAGTGGTTTAAGGCTGCCTACAAGCTTTTGTTTGAACTGTGACATGTATTTTGAAATAGGCTCAAATAGAGCTGATCTTACTCTGGTCCATTTGTATAAAACTATGGTTTTGTAGACTTGTGTATTTCTACTCAGGAACAGCCTGTGATGGTTGTGTTAAGATTCCATAAAAACAAACTCCTTAGTAAACTTATAAACATCCTGAAGAACACCAGAACAATGAATTATTGAATTGGCTTCTTATGGGTATATGTATATACATATAATTTTAAAAGTTACTGGGTTGTGATATATAATGACTGTTACAGAATTCTGCTCAAGCATCTTTGGCTTGCTGGAAGTTTAGTTTTTTGCTGTTAAGATCTGAAGTATAGCTAAAGTTTAGCAGAATTTTACACTAGTGGTGAATGTAATAAGCTCATGAGTTCTTGTACTTAGTGGCTCATAGGAATTAATGGTCTAATTATTTATTCAGTTAACAGGGCGTACAACATATTGGACACTGTTGATGCTACGGTATCGCAGTGAACAAAAAAAAAGGCCTGTCCTTAAGTAGTTTACATTCTGGTTTCTTAGATCACTCCTCTGTAGTAGTACCCTTCAGAATGTATCACATTAGGGTGATTTGAAAAAAATAAGATGGTAGAATATTGAGTTTTTAAGATACTTTATGTAAAATAAAAAAAACACTTAAAGTGAATCTTAAATTATGCCATAGTATAGGAATTCCTTTGATATTCTAATAATTTCTCCCATGAAATTGAGCAATACTTTATTCTGTTCATAGTGGATTTGGAGTTTTTATACTTGTAAATATTTATTCACCGTATCTTTTAATTCCAAACTACTTAGGCTAACAGTTTTGGAAGTGTACTTAATGTAATTAATAATAATTAATTATGACAACTAGATTACTTTTGAAAGAATAATTATAAAAACAAACCTCGAGATTTACTACCATGTGTAAGAAATTATGTTAGGATTCATAAAAACAAACTGCTTAATAAACATATAAATTAATTTTTTGAGAGGGTAGAAGTTTTACTTTTAAATTAGTAGACTAAAATATTTTAATAAGGATATTTTTATAGTCAGATTGTCTTATTTCATTTAAGAAATTCAAGGAAAACCATGTTTCTAGTACATTGTCTTTATTTAATTTTTTCTCTTAAAAATTGTGTTTTATTATCAAAGATGCAGTTGCACTTGTTGAAAACGTGTATAATGCTTTGTATTGTTTAATACTTGATGGGCTTTTAATGAGCTTTTAAAATAGTATTATTTCTCTATAATGTTATTGAACCTAGAAGTTTTTGTAGTGTTTTATGTAGAAACAATGTAGTATGTCTTTTTTTTTATATCTCCACTCCATTTTACTTATTTACTGCCAGGTATACAACTCTGTCATACAGAGCCCCTGAAATGATCAACCTTTATGGAGGGAAGCCTATCACCACCAAGGCTGATATCTGGGTAAGGCCAAGAAAGGCTGACATTTTCACTAACCAAATTAACAAAATCTGAGTTCAGTTGATTATCTTCCCCCTGTCCTCCACAAGGTTATTTCCTAATAAGTAGAAGAGAGTGGTGGACAGTAAAGCTTACTAATAGCAGAAGAAAAATATTAGCACATATCTTCTTGATCCGGAGATGGAAAACTTAGGTATAAAAAAGCAAGTAAACAGTTTCCACATAATGTAACTTTTTACTGCAGTATTTTTTAGAATTTAGATTATATATGACTGTTAAAATTTTTTTGATTTGAGTGCAGTTTTGGAAAAGCTGGCCATAACTCTTAACTGGTTATGCTTATAATTTTCTTAAGTATTTTAGGATCTTTTTAGTGGAAACTAACACGAGTAAAATTTTTAAAAAATTATAAACATACCGTTGACTAACCTCTGTATATTGAGGTTCTTTAGCATCTATATAGATTGAATTATTGAGGTATAACATGTTTCTATGGCTTCCCTTGTGGCTCAGATGGTAAAGAATCTGCATACAGTGCAGAAGACTCAGGTATGATCCCTGGGTCAGGAAGATCCCCTGGAGAAGGAAATGGCAACCCACTCCAGTATTCTTGCCTGGAGAATTCCATGTACCCGGGAACCTGCGGGGCTACGGTCCAGGGGGTCTCAAAGAATTGGACACAACTGAGTAACTAACACACACAACATGTTTCTATAGAGTTGTACTTTATGTTAGAGAGTCAATATATCTTTTGAGGTTATTTCATAAGTAAAATGTGTTTTGTCTATATTTAGTAAACTAGCAGGAAACTATTTTAAATGGGAATTCATTTAAATTTAACAAGCATTCAGCCATATCTGCCACCAGTGGCCATATTAGGAACTGAGGAAAAACATTCAGAAGTATTTCTAGAGTTTACAAGAAAAGTCATTTGATTTCATTTTAAAGCATAATATTTAGAAAGCAGTCAAGCGTAATGGGTGAAACCAAATGAATATCTTCTTGGTGCTCCTTTCCTGACGGAATTCTTTTATAGAGATTGGGAAATATTCTTGCAAGGTAATAAAAAAAGAGTATCTACAATATTTTTCCCTCTGTATACATATTATGCACTTTTTCATCAGTGGTTCTTAAATCTTGTGGTAGTTGAATTTTTAACTGTATATGTAATTTAATGAAACCACAAATAGGTTTGATTCAGTCAATTTGCTCCTGCTTACAGATTCCCAGCTTGTATTAACTCAAATTCAGTCGGCTCTTCTCAGCATTGACATTTGATTCATTAAATGGCTTATAGTAAATAGCTTGTAGTATAATGTAGAAAACAAATTCAATTGAATCTTAATTTATAAAATGAAGGTATTAATTAGAGGAGGTTATTGTGGAAGTCTTTTCCTGGCCTAATTTTGTGACTAGTGTTGAAACCCACATTACCTAAAAGAGTATTTCAACAGTGGAGGAAACAGCAGATTCATACGTTGACTACTGTTTTGAAATCATCAAGGGTTGATTTAAAAAAAGTCTTTTAAGAACATGTTTGTTACCCAATGTCTTAACAAAAAGGAGGGAGTCTTTCTCTGTTGTTTGTTTTTCACCAAGCTTAAAATTTGTGCCAGGATGGCTAGATTGTCAGCGAAAGGTGGCTCAGTGGTAAAGAGTACATCTGCTAATGCAGGAGACATGAGTTTGATCCCTGGGTCAGGGAAGCTGCCCTGGAGAAGGAAATGGCAACCCACTCCAGTATTCTTGCCTGGAAATCCCATAGACAGAGGACCCTAGAGGGCTGCAATCCACGGGGTCACAAAAGAGTAGGACATAATTTAGCAACTAAACAGCAAGAAGTTTAAAATTTATTCCATTTACAGGTTAGTTATATGGAGTAGCATTTCTATAATGGGTAACTGGATATAGCTGTGGGATGACAAATAGATACTCAAAGATAAAAAAGAAGCCAGAAAAATTATCAGAAAACAGAATGTATTTATATGCTTGACAGAGATAGAGTTTTAATTTCCTTGATACCATTTTTATGCTTGTCATAGCTCAGATGAAATGCCTACAACATTTTAGGTGTGAATTTGAGAATATCCAGAAAAGGAAATCAGTTCATATCAGTTAAGAGCTATATTCTGATCTTATTTCAGAAAAGTATTTAGAGAGTTATGATAATTGAGGTTAAAGTTTTCATTTAGCATATGTATTTTGGAGAAATTTATTTTTTACTTCGAAATTTCTATTGTAGCTTATTTTTATCCTGAGAACTAGGATGCTGATTTTATTGACCAATAGGAAGTTCAGTGAGAGATGCTTCATGTTACCTTTTAATGGGGAAAATGGAAGATGGTGATACTCAACCCTCAGAATGAGGTCATTCATTCCCTCCTGTTTCCTGAACAGTTCTCATTGTATCAAATGGAAATAGAGGGAAATGCCTTTGGTGTGAGAAAAATTAGGACACTTCCTTGTGTTCACACTCTGTGAAGCAGAGTATTTTAGATTAATGTTTTTGAAGTACACTGGCATTGCTATCTAAAATTGTTACCTGGGAACTCCTACAACATATACTGAAGGTTTGAGTGACAAGATAGAACTGGCTAAAAGGCAGATCTCCTTTGCTTCACTGTCATCTGGGCAGAGGAAAGATAATTTAATGCAGACATTGCACCATTAATAGTCGTTTTTTTAGTGCTGTTAAGGAAGCCTTATGCTCACTTTGCAGTATAGAAGCTGAAAATATCTTCCTTAGAGAAAAATGCATCATAAATTTTTTAAAGCCACATTGAACTCGTTACTTCCATTCAGAATCTTTGTAGTTTTGCTAGTCACATAGTGAATAATCTAGTAATGTTTTTGAACTAATATATTGAAATTTCTAGAGTCTCTAAACTTTTTTCATTAAAGGACTGTTGTAATATTGAAAATAATGTTTTGTAAATTAATACTGTTGAACTCAGAAAGGTATTTCTGTATTTTGTGACCTTCGTAGCAGTTATAAAACTAGTGTATTTGTTAATTGGCTTGCCAGGTTGCTGTGTGACGAAAAAGCCAACAAAGGACAGCTGATGTGCTAATGTTTAGATAGGCCAGATTTCAGTTATTGCTGATGTAATTGTATAGTAACCACTAGATAATTTTATGTAATCAATTTAAAGTTAGAATTGTCCCTTACACTCATAACGCTTTGTAGGCAACACTTCTTGTGGCAGCATAATGATTTCTTGAGCAGAAAATCACATTTTGTTACCACGTCTCAGATTTGAGCTGTTGGCGCTTTAGCTGAAAATTTCCTGTGCTACTTTTCCAGACACAATTTGTGTCTTAGGGTGGTTTGTATTCATTGTCAGAAAGTAGATTTATTGGCACTGTGATGTCTATGAATCCATACAAGCAAAGCAGACAGAGCCCTTTCTTTCTGAATTTTACATAGATTACTCAGGTACAAATATGACTAGTATAATATAGAATGAAAAATGTAGGATTATGTTTAGAAGTAGAGAACTAATTTTTATACTATGAAATAATGACATGTGCTCAGTGAATAATCAGTGTTGATGGGTGTCTGATAAATTTAACTGTGCTGGCTAACTCCTATTTGAAACTTGGAGTTTTAAAATGTGTTTTATAGTGAATTTTTAAAATATTCTGCTACAAGGAGCTTTGTTCGTGCTTTGTTGGTTGTTACATGCTAGCTGTGTACTAAATATATATTTTCTTTGTGAAAGAAATGAAAATGTAATTTTTCTCCCAAAGGGAACCAGTCACTTCTAATTTTAGTTCTGTCATTCATGATCTGGTGTTCTATGAGAGCATTAATTCATCCATCTAGCCACACGCATTAATTTAAGTTGTAATTTGTGAAAAGATTGAGCCAATATAGAAACATTAGGCTTTTGTTTTCTTAATAACATATTTAGTTTTTCATTTGTGGCTTTTTTTTTTTTTTGCTCTTGTAATCAAGTTGATACTTGAGTTCTGATGATATTCATGCTTCTTTGTTTTCCAGGCCCTGGGATGTTTACTGTATAAACTTTGTTTCTTCACTCTTCCTTTTGGTGAGAGCCAGGTTGCCATCTGTGACGGCAGCTTCACCATCCCAGACAACTCTCGTTACTCCCATAACATACATTGTTTAATAAGTAAGTACTTGGACAATTTATGAAAAGAATTGTAAGGTACTATATGAAGGGCCTGCTATTTCTGTTCCTTTACCTAAAACTAGTCTTTTAATTTCATGTTATTATAATTTTGTGAAACTGCTATAGTCAAGAAATACATTTAAAAGGATGTTCAGGGCCTTCCCTGGTGGTCCAGTGGTTGAGACTGTGCCTTCCAGTGCAGGGGGTGCTGGTTTGACCTCTGGTTGGGGAGCTAGGAGTCCACATACCTCACCGCCATAAAACCAAAACATAAAAACACAGAAGCAATATTGTAACAGATTCAATAAAGACTTTAAAATTTATCTACATCAAAAAAATCTTTTAAAAAAGATGTTTATAAGACTTTTGTAGGAATGAAAATAGACTAATTACTGATTAGTACATGGATGTTTTTAAGCTCTAGATAAGCTTTTATAGAACATAGAGATTATGTAATTAAGAAAACTGGAATTTCTGGAAAAACTTTCCAGCATAACATTTCATTATTCAGTCTTTGTACTTTTGAAATCAAAATAACCTGATCTGTTTCTTCTTTAGATCAAACTATTTCCAATTTAAAATTGTAGTTTATTTGCCACATTTTTTACTGTTTATTCCTTGTTGATTATAAAATCAGAAAGCAACCTAAGTGTAATATCAGAAGGAGTAATCTTGTGGACCTTTCATTCCAAAAGAATGCCTCAGTTTTTCTTACAGTCTCTTTTAAGAGTTTTTTCTTCCTTTTTGACAGATCCTGTAACTTAATTTCTTGAATATGCACATGGTATAATTTCTGCAAAAGATGATTTGTTACACATTTGGTGATTGACTAACTTTTGTAATTTATGAGGCTCATGTAACTCAAAAAAAAAAAAAAAAAACCCAAAACACAGAGCAAACACTCAAAGAAAAACAATCAAAATGAAGCATAAAAGGATATATGTTGCTTCACTTGGCAAACTTATTTAAAGCATAATCTTTGTTTCTTTAAAGAAATCCACATTTCTTTAATGTGGATTTGCCCATACATGTTGGAAATTAGAGGGTTATGTCAGCTGAACACAAAACTTACACTACTTCACATAGAGTGTTTTTCCTAGGTGAGGGGGACCAAAGTAATGGCGTGGGGGAGGTGGTGGTATAACTTACAGGGGAAAGGGAATAGCCCTAAGCTTGGCTGCTTCACTGCCAGCGTGAACTTTCAGCTCTATTAGAGAATATTAAACATGAGTGCTTGTACCTGGGCTTTCCTTCCCAGAGAGGTCTACCTCTCGGCTTTTGTGTGACTCTGTTAATGGGTGGCCTCCTGAATGGTATCCTTTATGGCTCAGAACTGCACTTTTATCTTTATTGGTGGATAACCTCCTAGTCTTGTTTTGATATGGTTTTCTGTCCTTCTGGCAGCTTTCAGCCAAATAAGCTACCTGTCTGGGCAGTCCAAGTTACCTTTTCAGATACCAATTAATGTTTTTCTCAGTGTTCTGGTGAGTGAGCTGTATAGGTTTTCAGTGGTTTGTCCCATCTCTCTTTTCTCCATTAGCCTTGTTATTTTTAGCTTGCCATTTTGTAGACTGTGTATTTTTTTTTCAAAGAGCAAGCATACCTTTTGAGTATATATGAATAAACATCAGACCTATCAGCCACTCTGTTTTAACCAGTTGCTTTCTTCCTTCATTGCAAAATTTAGGACATCAGAAGCATGAAAAAACTCTGATTAATTGGAACGCTCAAAAAATAGATTGAGGAATTTTCTTTGGCTGTTGAGTGTTCTAGCCAATTGAAATTTAACCTTTCTTTGAAGCTTTTGTTATAAATCACCATATCAGTGGCATGGTTTTGTTGTTAAGTATAATGTTTTTTAATCACAATTGGACTAAGGATTTTATTGAGGATCTTGCAGTGTCTGCTGATTGCCAAAGGTGGGAGATGGGCGAAAGAGATGAAGGTGGTCAAAAGGTATAAACTTTGAGTTATAAAGTAAGTCCTGAGGATGTAATATACAGCGTGTGACTATAGTTAAAAATACTGTACTGTGTACTGTATATTTCAAAGTTGCTAAGACAGTAGATCTTAAAGAGTTCTCATCCCAAGGGAAAACAATGTTTAATTCTGTGAGGTGATAGATATTTACTATATCTACTGTGGTCACCCATTTCATAATACATATATACATAAAATCATTATGTTACTCACGTAATGAACTTCTCTGTCTGACCTGGGCTTTCCTGGTAGCTCAGCTGGTAAAGAATCTGCCCGCAATGCAGGAGACCCCAGTTCGATTCCTGGGTCAGGAAAATCCTCTGGGTAAGGGATAGGCTACCCACTTCCCTGGTGGCTCAGTCAGTAGAGAATCCGCCTACAATGTGGGAGACCTGGGTTCAATCCCTGGGTTGGGAAGATCCCCTGGAGGAGGGCATGGCAACCCACTCCAGTATTCTTGCCTGGAGAATCCCATGGACAGAGGAACCTGGCGGGCTACAGCCCACGGGGTTGCAAAGAGTCAGACACGACTGAGCGACTAAGCACAGCACAGCACTGTCTGACTTACTTAATTAGCATATATGCTACCCTCATGTTTATTCATGCTGCAAATGGCAAGATTTCTTTCTCTTTTTTAATGACTGAATAATATTCCATTGGTATATATACATACATACACACAAACACCTCTCCCATTTTCTATATCCATTGACCCATTGATGGACACTTAAGTTGCTTTCATGTCTTGGCTATTGTAAATAATGCTGCAGTGAACTTGCAGATATTTTTTTGAGTTAGTGTTTTTGTTTCTTTCAGATACATACTCAAAAGTAGGATTGATGGATTATATGATAGTTCTTTTTTCAACTTTTTGACATACCTCTATACTGTTTTCCATAGTGGCTGCACCAATTTACATTCCCACCAACATTGCACAAGGGTTTCCTTTTTTTCACATTCTACCAACACCTGTTGGGCTTCCCAGGTGGCTTAGTGATAAAGAATCTGCCTGTCAATGCAAGAAGACACAGGAGATGCAAGTTCTATCCCTGGGTCAGGAAGATCCCTTGGAGGAGAAAATGGCAACCTACTCCAGTATTCTTGCCTGGGAAATCCCATGGACAGAGGAGCCTGTAGGCTACAGTCCGTGGTGTCACAGAGAGTTGGACATGACTGAGCGACTAACACACACATACATGTATACTTTATAAAAGTTGATTTTATATTTGCAATAGAAGCAGAGTTAATGGGAGTGGTCTTGTGGTGACCCACATGATCATTTTAAGTTGGGTAAACAGGGGTGTATTCTAGCTTTTTTGTCTTTTCTAAAAAACTTTAGTGACTTGATTCACTTTTAGATCAGTTAGATGTGTGTGTTCATTAATCCAGCAGTCCCCAGCCTTTTTGTTATCAGGGACGGCTTCCCTAGCGGCTCAGACAGTAACGAATCCACCTGCCAAACGGGGGACCTGCGTTCAATCTCTGGGTCAGGAAGATCCCCTGGAGAAGGAAGTGGCAACTTACTCCAGTATTTTTGCCTGGACAGTCCCATGGACAGAGGAGCCTGGTGGGCTATAGTCCATGGGATTGCAAAAGAGTTGGACACGACGTAGCGAGCAACAACAACAACAGACAAACTATAAACAGCCTCCAGAAAATGTATTCCCACATGAAAACGTGAGCTAGTGGAGTTAAGAGGTTCTTTTGTTTGCTTGTAAAATGATGTCAATCCACCGACAGCCTGATTACTTAATCATTAGGCGATGTGCCTTGCTTAACTTGAGAGAGAGAGTTACCTATACAGATATTGGTTAGAAAACATAAAAGCTCAAATTTATTTATTTCTCTTCAATGATTCTCATGTACTGTAAAAGAAAAAAAAAATACAGGGTTGCCCAAAGGATTGCCATTCCTCTCTAGATACTCAAAAAACCTTTCCCAATGTTATGCCATGCCAGGAAAGTGTATTTTCGTACCCTCACTGTTCTGTACTCCTGTAGAATTTCTTCTCCTGAACTGTATTTTATTGTTATGTCACTGGTCTGCCCGAAGGTTGGTATAAGACCTGACTGTGTGTCACTCATTGTAGTTTCTTAGGAATATTGTTCACTCAGTGTGAACCATCTTTAGAAAGACTCAAAGGAGAATTTACTCTTAGCTTTCAATATTAGAAATGGTGCTTTTTCTTAGCACCTGGTTTGTTTTTTAAGAATATTGCAGTTATATAATGGATCATGTTGTCCTATTTGTGTTGACAGCTAGAGAGCTAAATTTTTCCAGTGTTGGTCCTGCATTTGTAGAACCAAACATATGTAATTTCTTTACTGACATTATCCCTCTTTTTTTCCTTCCTTTTAGCCATTACTTTTTCATTAGTCTTAATTTTCTCATATATTAAAAAAGAATAACAGTTTTGTATGCCACTATAAGTCCTCTATAGGAAAAAGTATTTATAATTAGCTACTATTGAAATAAGATTTTAAAGGCCAAATAAACTGAATTGTTAGGATAGAAAAGTTTTAAGTTTATGAATTTTATAAGTTTCTTGTGATTTGTTTCACTTAACAAATTACATGAATAAGCATTTATAAAAGTTGGTATAAATGTGTTCCCATATCATGTACTATTGTTGCTTCTAAAACAATGTATTGCTATCAAGATAAAATATGATTTTGGAGGATAAAATAAACCTTGTAGATTTTTCAGATGTTTTCTGGAATGAGGTTGAATATCAACTAATAAATATTAGAATTAAATGTTCCGAGCTATTTCATTCTAACAGATGATAAAATAATAAAATATCAATTTTTTAAGTGGCATATGTTAGCCTTTTTAAGTGTATAAAACCAAGTGACGTGCAGAATATGATAAAATGAGTTCAGAATCTCTCAAATAACTTGTTTGTGCTTAGTGGCACTTGCCATCCAACCATGTTTTTAACCAAGTTAACTTATCACGCTGTCAGCGATGTATTACACATTATTCGTTCAAATATTACCTATGATTGAAAGGAGGATTTAATTTTGATTTGTAATATTACTTAGGATTGAAAGGAGGATTTAATTTTGATTTGTAATATTAAGGTAGTTATTTATACACTTTTATCTCAACATAATTTTGTTAGCAAATTTCAGAATATTGTCTAATTAATGCTGTAAACTTTACATTGCAAATAGGTTTAAAAATGATTTGAACATGATAAGAATTTAATCAATGAAGCAGAGTTAGAACATGAAGAATACCATAACAGAATATGGTTTTTTTCATGTATAGGATGGAGTATAAATGTCAGCCTTCTTGTGAAATTGTAATTTAGCAAGTAGTTCAAGAAATGTAGTGGCCATTTTGGTTAGAAAAAAGGTCAGGCCTTTCAAGCAGTGCTGTAGGATTGGTGTGAAAACTGTTCATAATAGAACCATAAGACTATGCTTGTACTTCTAAACATGTTGTGGAGAGCATATTGAAATACAGAACTGTGATGAATACTGCTGTCGTCCGTGTGGGAGGAAAATGGGTTTTAAGAAAACTACAGTGCTGACCGTGTACTACTTCCCTGTACCACTCTGTTAAGTAGACTGTAATGCGTACAGCTTAGTCTTCTCTTCGTGATTCAGAAGTCCTTAGAAATTGATATATCTAAAAATATTAACAGATATGTAAAAGTTATTTTAGGTAGTAGTGAAAATAAGGACCCCTACTGTAGCCCAGAAATTTTCTTGAATAATTCCCCAGTGTTGACTAAACTCACTTTTTGTTTTGTGTCAGAGTCTCAGAAGAATATTCATATTTGTAATTCATGCTTTCAGTACCGATCTGTCTTAGGACTCATTTATCTTTAGCTTTGGATAATGTATAAAATAACAATTTTTGTATTTTCTATAAACATTCCCAAAGTTTACCAGAAGCATCACTAACATTAGAATGGAAGTATATATCTTTTTAATGTGCCTCTAATTGCTTCTGTGTTCAGTGAAACTTCTTAACATTTTGATTTATTCTTGTAGGGTTCATGCTTGAACCAGATCCAGAGCGGAGACCCGATATATTTCAAGTGTCATATTTTGCGTTTAAATTTGCCAAAAAGGATTGTCCAGTCTCCAACATCAATGTAAGTAGTTTTTGTATTATAAGTAAGTAGGATATGAATTTAAAATCCATTTCATCATGTGTGGGTATATATACTTTCAGAGTCACTTGTTTCATGACAAGTGATGTAATGGTATATTTGTAATTAGTATTTTTGATGCAAAGCTGCAGATACAAAGTATATGTGCTGGGGTGCTGTGGGGAGCTATGGTGGATTTGATGGCACTGCAGAACACTTCACATCATTGAGGGGATCCAGTGACATCTCTGAAATAGCATAGACTATTATTAAGTTGACTATTGAAAAAGCAGGACTGTTAGATTTTTTAGGAGCATAGTTGGGCCGGGGGTGTCATGAAAAATGGCTGAGATACTCAGCATTCTGTAAACTGAGAAAGTTTGGTTGCCCTTGGTGTACAGAGCATAGGCATTATAAATGGAGAGAAGTGGGTTCAGTTCCACAGAACTGGAAAAGGTCAGTTTTCATTCCAATCCCAAAGAAAGGCAATGCTGTAGAATGTTCAAAACTTCCACACAATTGCACTCATCTGACACGTTAGCAAAGTAATGCTCAAAATTCTCCAAGCCAGGCTTCAATAGTACATGAACCATGATCTTCCAGATGTTCAAGCTGGATTTAGTAAAGGCAAAGGAACCAGAGATCAAATTGCCAGTATCTGTTGGATCACAGAAAAAGCAACAGACTTCCAGAAAAACATCTACTTCGGCTTTATTGACTACACCGAAGCCTTTGACTGTGTGGATCACAAGAAACTGTGGAAAATTCTCAAAGAGTTGGGAATACCAGACCACCGTACCTGCCTCCTGAGAAATCTGTACGCAGGTCAAGAAGCAAGAGTTAGAACAGGACATGGAACAACAGACTGGTTCCAAATTGAAAAGGAGTACATTGAGGCTGTATATTGTCTCCCTGCTTATTTAACTTCTATGCAGGGTACATCATGTGAAATGCTGGCTGGATGAAGCACAAGCTGAAATCAAGATTGCTGGGAGAAATATCAATAACCTCAGATATGCAGATGACACCACCCTTTTGGCAGAAAGCAAAGAGGAACTGAAGAGCCTCTTGATGAAAGTGAAAGAGGAGAGTGAAAAAGCTGACTTAAAACTCAACATTTAGAAGACTAAGATCATGGTATCTGGTTCCATCACTTCATGGCAAACAGATGGGGAAACAATGGAAACAGTGAGAGACTATTTTCATGGGCTCCAAGGTCACTGCAAATGGTGACTGCAGCCATGAAATGAAAAGATGCTTACTCCTTGGAAGAAAAGCTATGAGCAAGCTACACAGCATATTAAAAATCAGAGACATTATGTTGCCAACAAAGGTCTGAATAATCAAGGCTATGGTTTTTCCAGTAGTCATGTATGGTTTTGAGAGTTGAACCATAAAGAAAACCAAGTGCTGAAGAGTTGATGCTTTTGAACTGTGGTGTTGGAGAAGACTCTTGAGAGTTCCTTGGACTGCATGATCAAGCCAGTCCATCCTAAAGGAAATCAGTCCTGACTACTCATTGGAAGGGACTGACGCTGAAACTCCAATGCTCTGGCCACCTGATGTGAAGAACTGATTCATTGGAAAAGACCTTGATGCTGGGCAAGATTGAAGGCAGGAGGAGAAGGAGATGTCAGAGGATGAGATGGTTGGATGGCATCACCAATTTGATGGACAGGAGTTTGAGCAAGTTCCAGGAGCTGCAGTCCATGGGATCACCGAGAGTCAGACACAACTGAGGGACTGAACTGAACTGGACTCGGTTGTCTATATCAGTGACTGGTTTTGTATATTTTGGGAAGTTGCTTAACATTTGTTACTTTTTCTGTAAAACAAGGATGGTAATTACAAGGATTAGAAATAATAACTGTAAAACCCAGTGTGTAGTTCAGGGAAGATGTATTATAGCTGATGCCATTAAAAGGCTTTGAATGTATCTGTTGTCTGCACCCTGTACTTCACTATATCAGATTAACAGTACATGGCAAGTCGGCTAACTTTAATAAAGGTCTAGAATCAAATACTGATTTTTAAGCTTTTTCAACTTGAGTGGCCTTACTTTTTCTTATAGGTTTCCTTTGTGTATAACTTAATCCACTCCACTAAGAAAAAAGAAGGAATTTGGTGCCTTTCCTTTTCATTTTTTGAAATTCTTGTTGTGTCAGTGTAATATATTCTTGGTTGAAGCCGAAAGTCATTGCTCACATTCTAGTAATGAATTTTATTTGACATTTGCCTGGATTTTTAGCTTTTCACTCTGCAAACATTTATTGAGTACTTACTGTGACTTTTTTTTGAGTAATTATTGTAAACTGAACACTGGAGAGCAGAAGCAAATGAGTGCAGCCTCTGTTCTTGTTTGCTGGACTTGACGAGCAGTGTCATGAAAATTACCTTCAGCCTGTAAAACAACACTCTGTTCATGTACTTGGTGTTTGCTTCTTTTTCCAGTGTGTGAAATAGTCGTCGTGTGATCCTTTATACCCCAGATTTACCCATTTGTAAAGTGGTTATAATATATATATATATATATATATTATATAATCTAATATTGTTCTATTTTCCAAGGGTTTCTCTGAAACACAAATAAGAAAGTGACACTTGAGTGTAACACATAGTGATATTTGCGGATTAGATTGGGCAAATATGTGTCAACAACTTGTAGGTATCTACAAAGTGAAGAGGTGAAGAAATAGTTTCTCACAGACAGTGTTGTTAAAGTTTAAGAATATATTTGTTGTGTTTCAATAAAACTTTCTGCAATTGAAATGAAAATTAAAATGAAACATTTTATTTTTTTCTTCCAAGAATTCTCCTATTCCTTCAACTCTTCCTGAACCGATGACTGCTAGTGAAGCAGCTTCTAGGAAAAGCCAAATAAAAGCCAGGTAAGCAAAGCTATGCTGAAATTTGAAAAGGCATTTATTAAACATAAAAGGGGGGGGGGGAACAGTACTCGTTTTTAATCCTAGCAGATGTTGATTAAATAGCATCTTCACCCACAAAAAATACTGTATTCCTTACTGCATGTAGCATAACATTGAGACAGCAACTTCAAAATAAGCTTTTTTGTATGAGATAACAGGGTTTGACAGTAGTCACACTTGAACTGCTCCCTCTCCGCCTTCATGAAGTGATTGTGTAACTGGTGATGTTACATTGGGTCATCTTATAGGTGGGACTTGTCATTATTTCATCACATGACAACTAATTTATGAAATACTATGTTTTATTTTATTGTTAATAATGACCTTTTATTGATTTATGAAAAGAAGAGCTGTATGTAATTTACAGTGAATAGTTACAATGGCAACATTTTTAAGACCATTAGAGGAATATTTGTTGTTATTCAGTCTCTCAGTTGTGTCTGACTCTTTGAGACCCATGGAATATTATAGTGTTTCAAATAATTTTATAGTAATTCACTACGTTAATGTTTGATACAGATTATGTAGGTTAAGGCCTAAATCTGAGTAATGGTTGAGTTAATGATAACTTTTTCTCCTCATGTTTTTTTTTTTTTTTGAGTTTAAAAGTGAGTAGACAGGACTGTATTTTAGATTATCAGGTATAGTTTTATATTTGGGGAGATTTCTTGATCACAACTGTTTTTTGTATTGTATTTCACTTATGCAAAGTGTTTTGACATGGAATACGTAAAACCATCTGTCACACACTTGTTATATGCAGGATATAGATATGGAGGACCCAAAGAAAAAGAAGCAGTGTATTTCTAAGGAGTTCCCATTCAAGTGAAGATACACCAGTGAGCAGTTACAGCTTGCAGGTGATGAGGCTGTGAGCGTGGAGGAAGAGAGGACAGGAGCTCAGGGAGAATCCTTTTCCTGGGGCGGGCGTTGCTGAACTCTTTCTTAAAGGATGAGTAGCCTGTAGTCACTTGGAGTGATGGGTGGGAAGCTATGACAGGCAGACCTTTCAGGTGAGAACAGCCTTTGTGAGCTGCAAGACTGGAGCATGATAAGGGCACATCTACAGGAGGTTGGGAAATGAAGCTGAGGAGGCAGGTGAATGTCAGTCACAGCAACTTTACTCTGTGTCATGCTGAGAAATTTGGATTTTGGCCTTTAGGCAGGTGAATTTTCAACCTTGTAATCAGTTTGGTTGTGAGATGTGTTAGAAATAATCTGCTATTTGTAAGTTGTTGAAATATCAATTGGGAATGACTTAATTTTTAAAAATAGCATCACTCTAAAACTGTTATCTTCATTCATTTGAATTTAAAATACTCTTGAGTAAGAGACAAAGGAGTAAAGTTACATCTAACTTGCAGGGATCCAGCATGACTGACTGTCTTGCTCATGATATAGCTGGAGTTAACAGCTGCTGTTATAGTTGAATGGTCATTATGAATTATTGTCAGACTTGTCAGCTAGTTTTATTGTTACTTGTCTTTTAAAATAATTATTTTGTCAATGATTAAATCTTTAAGTAAAGTATAAGTTTTTTAAAAAGTATGAGTCAATTAAAAAATAATGCTTTGGATGTCTTTTCACCACGACATAAGCTACACTTACAAACAAATGAAATAGTTAACAAAAATTCACAGTGCTATTCATAGTATGTTAAACTATATATTATGTATATTAAATAATAGAGTTCATTGATCCTTACTGGTCAATAATATAAATTTACTTTTTACTGATAGTATCAGTAAAGACCTTGAAAAATTATAAATGGTAAAGTAAAAAATTAATCTTATTTTTCCATGTGAAAGGCATATTTCCAATGGTTGGGGGGGAAGGGGAGTCTTTAAATAGCTAGTATCATTATTTACATGTTTTAAAACTATGAATATTATCTGGTTACCCTACCTTCAATCTGTGAACTTTTTGTTTTACTTCTTAAAAGTTCCCTTCCACCCCCCAAAATTTTCATCTGCTCTTGGGACTGTTAAACATGTGAAACTTATGTGATCTGTATCTTCAAGATGGCAGGGTTGAGAATCATTGCCCTGGCAGGTGGAAACACTGAAGGATTTTAAGAGAAGAGAGAGTTTATATTTTAGGAAGACTGTTCAGGTTAGCAGGAAAGAAAAGAAAGCAAAACAAAAAAAATCAGCTCTGTGTTGGCTACAGTAGTGTGAATGAGGTTTTTTTATAGCAGTGTTGATACCAGCAATTACTCAGTTTTTCATTTCAGTTAAATGTGTATTTTCACTTTGCCTAATTCATCCAGACATTTCCTTCCCATTTTTTCACAGGCTGCTTACTGTCTTTTACTGTCTGATGACGTCATATTTATTTCTGTACCTCCAGCTCTCACCTGAGCCTTCTCTAGCCGAGTTAGGTTAAAGGTCGAGTAACTCCTCTGTCAGACTTTTGACATTACTAGTGTTAGTGCTAATTATTTTTTCTGTGTTTTATTTTCATGAACATGTGCCATATCTTTCTAGGTAGACTGTAAATTCTTTGAAGACTGGGCACTGTCATGTTTGCAGGGTATCAGTAAAGTAATTGTACAGTAGATATTGGTGCATTAGGGAAATAAATTAGGCAACGCTAGACTAAACAATTGAGCCACCAGGGAAGTCGGCACAGCTTTTCGATGTGGTTTTTAGAGGTTTGCTGTGCTTGTGTGTGTTGTGAATCCTCTGTGGAGTGATTTATAATAAAAGAAGAACAAGGCAGGATGAGGCTTTGCCTGTACTACCCACTGAATAAAGAATGGTTAGACAAATGGAAAGACTGTATATAATGTTTCCCCCAGATTACTTGAGTTTAGAGAGTATAGCATGGGCTTTAGTGCCATATCCATAATTTGGACTTAATAAATACTTGTTTAGATTAAATGAGATAATTGGTTATATGTACATATGATCTTTTATTGCCTTAAATTTAGTTCAGTTTTCATTGTATCCTCCGCATTCCATCTAAAACATAAATATTATTTTCAGAAAACTGCCCGTATGCAATGTATTTCTATGATTTTCCAGTCTTTCTATTCAATTTCACTTCCTTTCTTTCTGAAAAGATAGTTGTTGACAGGGCTCCCTCTTGTGGTGTCTACAGATAGAGGAGAGAGCTATAAATCTGCAGTAGACGGATCTATAGATCTGTTACGGTAGACAGGACTTTCTCTGCATGCCGCAGATGTCTACTTGATGAATCATACATACGCAAAAATTTAGGTCACATCTGTGACCTAAACTAGATCCTAGTGTGAAAACTTATATAATTTCCATTCAGTGTTTTAAGTCAAGCAAATATAAAGATTCAAGAAGTTGAAGGTGAGCCGGTAGCTCCACCTGTTAAACGTTTTCATTTCTTTTGTTTTATGTGCCCTAAGACATGTTCTTTCTTTCTTAGGCCGAGTCCAAGCTAAGGAAGACTGTTATTTGTTGTTTATTTTTATGTTTCTGACTGGTTTAGAAAGTTGGCTCTCACTTTTGTCTAAAACCTTACTGAGAAGGCTTCTGTGTGTTTATTTTATCTCCTTAAGAGCAATCCTGTACTCTTTTTCTGCCGGCTTCAGTACTATGTGTGGAAGCAATCTGGTTTGAGGAAGTTGGTTCATTTTATTTCATTTACTTCCTTATCTTTATTAACATTTGATACTTGATAATGAGACTTAGGAAGAAGCCAAGAGGACTAACATGATCATCAATAATAATAAATATGCATCTGCTGAAATAGATGCTTCATAAATTAGAAATAATCCCAGTATTTGGAATGATATGTCTTCTTCTGTTGTAGAATAACAGACACCATTGGACCAACAGAAACCTCAATTGCACCAAGGCAAAGACCAAAGGCCAATTCTACTACTGCCACTCCCAGTGTACTGACCATTCAGAGTTCAGCAACACCTGTTAAAGTCCCTGTTCCTGGTGAATTCGGTAATCACAGACCAAAAGGTAATACAGCCCTGCCACCTTCGTCCCCTTTATAGTTGATTTACATAAACCTTTTATGGCTTGGTTACCGAGCAGTGTAAATTATTGGCAGACTTATTGTGAAGCAGGTATATTACACAGTACTTTAAGAAACATAAAGCTCCTAATGTGTAATAAACTCAGCTAATTATTCTCCTAATGTTCTCAGCAAAGATAAGTTACTGGCAGTATAAAAGTATGGTATAAAAACCTCACAACTTGCCCATCCCTAAAGTCATCTTTCAACTAGTAGGGTTCGAAGTTGATACTAAAGTTCAAGAGTATAGAAAATTCTGTATTGTATTGGAAAGGAAGAATTTGAAACTCTAGCCTTACAAAGCATTTGTGTGAAATTGTTTTCAACTAGTATGTTTTAAATTAGAATACTCTTAAAAGACTTCCCAGGAAAGAATCAGCTTGCTGATGCAGACGTGGATTCAATCCCTGGGTTGGGAAGATCTGCTGGAGTAGGAGATGGAACCCACTGTAATATCCTTGCCTGGAAAAGTCCATGGACAGAGGAGCCTGAAAGGCTATAGTCCATGGGGTTGCCGAGTCCAGCATGACAAAACAACTGAGCAGTCGCACACAATGGTTAAAAACCCACATGTTGAGTCTCATGAACCTGAATTTCAGTCCTGTATCTTCTGTGTTTTTTATAAGTGAAGTGAAGTTGCTTAGTCGCATCTGACTCTTTGCAGCCCCATGGACTGTAGCCTACCAGGCTCCTCCGTCCATGGGATTTTTCAGGCAACTGTACTGAAGTGGGTTGCCATTTCCTTCTCCAAGGGATCTTCCCAACCCAGGGATCGAACCCAGGTCTCCCACATTGCAGGCAGATGCTTTACCCTCTAAGCCAGCAGGAAGCCCCATATGTATTATGAAAATTTAGGATTGTTGTGAGGATTAAATGACTGCTTACTGTAATGCCTGCCACATAATATGCCCTTCAGAAATGTTCACTCTTAACTATTATTACTACTATTAAGTAAAATACATGCTCAAGAAGACAGTATATTATCTGATGTAACATATGCATGTGGTGATCAGGCATACCCGATGGAGGAATTCTATGGGAAAGGGAAAATAGGGAAATATGAAGTCTTTATGTCTAATTCCTGTTTTACCATCTCTTAGCCTCACTGTTCTCTTCTGTAAAATGGGAAAACAGCTATTCTGTTTTAAAGAGTAAATAACAAGGTGTATTGTATCTTGAAAAATTCTGTTTCGTGGTAAGCATTCAACATTAATTTCCCTTTTTATACCTTTCTGGGGTGGGGATGCTCTTACTCTTCCCTATCATATATTTCAGCCCTTCAGCCAGAGACCACTAGGAACACACTTACATTTGAATAAATCTGGTTTATTACTCAGATACCCTGGAAATCTGTGGGAGTATCTCAGTAAGAAGGTGTCTGCAAAGACTTATGAAAGGGTTTGGGCTTGTTTTTGGTAATTTGGGGGAGGTAGGGCTATAATATCATTATGTAGAAGGAGAGATGGAGAAGTCTCATTTGGAAATGAAGCAACATTCAGTCATATTGGCCAGGATTGAGAGAAGTTTGGTCATTTTTGTGGCTTGGACAATGTTCCTGATTTTGCCAGTGTTGAGACATGATTATGGAGTGGGCTTGCTGTGATCCATCACTGCCACAGGATGGCCTTGTCTGATGCTGGTGTTCTGTAAAACTGTTCACATTTATCAGGAGACTCCTCCGTGCCATGACAGGGGCAGCGCTGCTGCTTCTTACATGCTTCCAGTTTAAGTTGGGGAAAAAAACAGCCTCCCCGCCCCCATATGTATACATCTCTTAAGATTTCTTTTCCCATTAAATCTTACATAAAAGTAACACATGAATAAAATTAAAAAAATATTCATACAAAGCAGTAATATTCAGAAAACTGTAGATATTTCCATTCTTTTTCTTCTAGAGTAGACTGGCAACAGTTTGGTGTACCTCCTCTCAGTCCTTCTTATGTTTTTGCATGTATGAACACAGATATAAATAATCATGTTGGATTAAACACAAATGCATTCATACTAGATACAGTTGTCTACAGCTTGATTTTTCTTAATATGCTTTGGCCGGGGGGGCTCCCAGGTGGCTCAGTGGTAAAGAATCTACCTGCCAATACAGGAGACATGAGTTTGATTCCAGTATTGGGAAGATCCCCTGGAGAAGGAAATGGCAACCTGCTCCAGTATTCTTGCCTGGGAAATCCCATGGATAGAGGATCCTGGCCAACTACAGTCGATGGGGTCACAGAAGAGTAGGACATGACTTAGAGATTCAGTAACAACAACAATAAACTTTGGAGAGCTATGCATTAATCTGTATGCATGGTGCATAGAGCATCCTTGTATTTTTATAAACACTTTCAAGAATAATCTACTGGATGAAGGCTGGGTTCCTTTGGAGATAATGATAAAGTTTAATAGGTTAAACCATTTAACGACAGACTTTAATGTAATAGTAGAGGCCCTGAGCAAATCAAAGGCAGAACTCATGGAAATAAGTGAAGATAAAACTAAAATTAGAAGATCTCCCAGCAAACCCCTCCCTGAAGTGACTGATGAGTATAAAAATGATGTAAAAAACAGATCTGTTTATATTAAAGGCTTCCCAACTGATGCAGCTCTTGATGACATAAAAGAATGGTTGGAAGATAAAGGTCAAGTACTAAATATTCAGATGAGAAGAACGTTGCACAAAGCATTTAAGGGTTCAATATTTGCTGTATTTGATAGTATTGAATCAGCTAAAAAGTTTGTCGAGACCCCTGGTCAGAAGTACAAAGACACAGACCTGCTAATACTTTTCAAGGAAGATTACTTCACCAAAAAAAAATGAAGAAAGAAAGCAAAATAAAATGGAAGCTAAATTACGAGCTAAACAAGAGCAAGAAGAAAAACAAAAGCTAGCAGAAAGTGCTGAAATGAAATCTCTAGAAGAAAAGATTGGCTGCTTGCTGAAATTTTCAGGAGACTTAGATGATCAGACGTGTAGAGAAGATTTGCACACCCTTTTCTCAAATCATGGTGAAATAAAATGGATACACTTTGTCAGAGGAGCCAAGGAGGTTTGGGAATATTCATGTGCTTTTTACCAATCAATGAAAAACCCATAGAAACTTACCTTGAGATGACATTAAAGAAGAAGGCAATTGTTTTATTACTGTTAAAAAAAAAAAAAAAGAATATGCATTTTCTTGTAATTGTAAGAGATGTTGTTCAGTCATGTCCGACTCTTTGTGACCCCATGGACACACCAGTCTTCCCTATCCTTTACCATCTCCCAGAGTTTGCTCAAACTCGTGTTCACTGAGTCGGTGATGCCATCCAACTATCTTTTTCTCTGTCGTCCCCTTCTCCTGCCTTCAGTCTTTCCTAGCATCAGGGTCTTTTCTAATGAGTCGGCTCTTTGCATCAAGTGGCAAAACGTGCATACATATTCCTTGTATTTTGTAAACATTTTCAAGAATAATTAAAAGAAATGCATTTTCTTATAATTGGAAGAGTTAGAAATAGTCATAAAACTATCTTCATAGAAATGCTGTATTTAAGGCCTGTGGAGGTTTGAAGACATTAACATTGTTGAGAAAGAGTCCTTCTATTTCTCCTTGCACTCTCCCTCCTTTTCCCCCTTAGGATTAAATAGTCACATTTGAATTTACAGTAACTTGTTGGAAGAGAATATAGAAATTATCGTATATTACATTTCCTCTTTTTAAGTTGGGTATTTCATCCTCTTTATTTCTGAAGTTTATTTGTAGGGTTTTCCTGTGGTACAGTTTATAAAGCTTATAAATAAATTTCTATTTAGGAGCCAGTGTTAGTAGATTTTCTACAGTAGCATTTATTGAACATCTGTTATATAAAAAGTTCTTTGGGGTGCTAAAATAAACAATAATAAAGTCTTCACCCCATCTCTCAGGAGTACTAGTTAGGAAATAGCCCTGTAAACAGTTAATGTGTGCAATGCCAAGATAAATGTTATAAAACCAAGTGGAAGCTTTAGATGAAAGAACAAGGAGAGATTTGAGATAAATTTTAAAGGATAACAACAGTTGCAGTGTGTGGAAACTGGCATTTTGGTTAGAGAATCCTATCAGCAAACATGCAGACTCAGGATGGAGCATCATACAGTTGAGAAATGTGGAACATTTCAAACTGGCCTGGCTGGTGTGTCCATGGAGAGAGAGCGTGGAAAATGACTTGTTTTTGAGTTGGAACTGGCAAAATTAACTTTCATGAATACTTTTGCTATGGTAAATAATCCATTTAGACTACATTCATGTGGAAGTTTCTATAAAATATGGATGTAAATGCCTTGGTTAATGACTACTGAAATGGGTGTTTTGAAATCCAACCACTGTATTGATACCATGAGTGTTTTTAATTTTCCCTCCCTGAAATGGAGTGTATTTTGCAGTGCTGTGTTTCTGCTGGGCAGCGAAGTGAATCAGCTCTACTATACACGTGTCACCCCTCTTTTGGCCTTCCTTCTCATTTAGGTCGCCACGGAGCGCTGAGTAGAGTTCCCTGTGCTGCACAGTAGGTTCTCATTAGTTGTCTGTTTTATACGTCAGTGTATACATGGCAGTTCCAATTTCCTGTCCATCCTACGCCCTTGAAATCATGATTATGCTAATGTACGTTTCTGAACACCGCTTTTAGGAGCACTGAAGCCTGGAAGTGGCCCCGAGGGTCTGCCGGGGCAGGGGCCCGCTCAGCAGCCTCCGCAGCAGCACCGCGTGCTCCAGCAGCTCCAGCAGGGGGACTGGAGGCTGCAGCAGCTCCAGCTGCAGCGTCGCCATCCTCAGCAGCAGCAGCTTCAGGAGGCTTACCTGCAGCAGGTGATTCTATCCCTTGAGATACAGAGCATCTGTGTCTGTTGTGTATATAGCCTCTATAGCTGTGAAATTCATGCCAGTTGTAAATAACAGTGAATTCCCCTTTGACTCATGGGACGTTGAGCTGTGGACTGAAGTAAACAGCTTGCTCAGTTTCCTGCTTATTAAAGAAAAGGCGTTTTATGTGCCTTCTGTGAGATGCTTAAGGATGCTCTGTGGAAATAGGCTGCGTTATGGCTTTATGAAGCAAAGAATGTTCACCCAGTCATTTGGCACCACAAATAAGTACTGCAGTTTATGATGAGTAGTATCTTTTGAGTTGCATTTTGAGTTCATATATATATATAGACTAATAATGTTGCTGAAAAGGTGATGTTAAGTTTTCAGAGGTAGCATTGTATTGGGTTCTTGTTCTTATTTTGATATTTTCCTTTTTTTGCCTGTGTTGGGTTATGTGTTCGTTATGTATGTGTGTAGGTGTATGGGGGTGGGCATTTAGAAGGGACATAGAAAAAAATGACCTTAACTTCTGTTCTGTCCTTTGCCTCATCAGAACCTGCGGACTTCTAGTGTCACTAAACCATTTTAAATTTAATGACTGTCGTTATCATCCTTCCATCATTTTCTGAAATATTTTTGAGCCAGTTATATGCATGACACTTCTTATGGGTGTACTGGTGCCCTGCTCTTGACTGGATAGACCCAGAGTGAAGAGGAGTTAAATAGGGGTGCCGTTGGATGGCCAGAAGATATGATTGAAGGGGAGAAAGAGGAGAGTGGGAATTTACTGTTGTAATTCCTGCAGACAAATCACTTCAGGGGTTTGCATCAATGAGCAAATGGCTTTAGGTTTCTTCCAGACATCCTTAAACTGTGCTGCAAATTGCTTTTAGTTGCATCTATTATGTTGCATTGATAATTTTGAAACTAGTTCCAATAAGCAGATGTAAGTTACAGTCACTTACTGATTATAGGTATTTCCCATTAGTGTTTGACTATTGAGTACCCAGGTCATGGTTACGGTAGGATCAATACTTCACAATACAAGGCTATGGAACAAAAATGGCGGGAGTAATATTATTGAATTTGTTTTCCTAACTGTAGTATCAGCATGCAGTGCAGCAGCAGCAGATGCTTCAGCAGCAGTTGTTAATGCATTCAGTGTATCAGCCACAGCCTCCTGTATCACAGTATCCTGCAGTGGTAAGTGGTGCATAACTTTCAGAGGTTGCTTTTGGAGTGTACACTGCAGTGTTGGAATTCACAGTGTGAATAGTATTTTATAGAATTTAATAATTCAGAAGTAACTCAAGTTAATTAATGAACATATATTTTATCAAAGCCAGTTATGTATGCTCAAGCAGTTTTACATTGGGTTGAACCTGGATTTGGCAGATCATAATTGACTGATAGTATTTTTCTCTAATCTCCTAGTATAAGGAGATGACTGCTTACCTGGGATATCTTGTCATATGTTTCATTCATTTGACAAATGTCTATTGAATAAAAAAAAGTAAGAAAGGAAGGAAGTCCAGAGGAAAATTGCATTTGCTTCAGAGAATAGTTTGACCTTTTTTTTAATAGCAACTACCATATCAAGTGACTTTTAAACTACTGTATTGTTTTTTTCTTAAATTATTTAAAGGAGAATTTTTGAATCCTGCTAGGTGAGCCTAACTTACCAGTTTCTTAAAAATTGAGGTATAATTGACATAAGATTATGTTAGTTTCAGGTAGATAATGTAATAATTTGTTGTGTGTCTATATTACAAAATGATTGCTACAATAAGTCCAGTTAAACAACTTCTTAAATAGATTTATTTCACCTTGTTGTAGTGTTCTGTAGAAGCTGCTCCTTCAGATAAAAGTTGTTTTTCCAGTGTCTGATTTGTTGCCAGTGTGAAAAGGAAGGAGTGAAGTAACAGGTGCAGTGAAGTAAATAGGCGCACTGCTGACAGCGCTTCGTGCCCGTGAGCATTGTGTTGTGTGACGGCATGCTTTGTTTCAGATGCAGCAGTATCAGCAGGCTTTCTTGCAGCAGCAGATGCTCACTCAGCATCAGCAGTCTCAACCACAGGCGTCACCAGAGTATCTCACCTCCCCTCAAGAGTTCTCCCCAGCCTTAGTGCCCTACTCATCATCACTTCCAGCTCAGGTTGGACCCATGATGGACTCCTCTTATAGTGCCAGTAGGCAAGTATTTTTCCACTGAATACAACGGAAATCATTGTGGGAGTGGGTGTTATCATGGAGTGGAGTCATTTCATCAGTTGAAGTGGCTCCTGAATTTGGAGCCCATCTTTTTGTCGATTTCCGCCTTTTCTCTTACTAGTCCTCTCTTCTGGTCCCTGTGTGTCTCCATCCTTCTTTCTGTTTTCATCAGTTAATTCTGCTAACTGCTGTCTTAGCAGTTAGTAAGGCGTAGCAGCATCCAGCAGCGTTTAAGGCTAAGGAAAGGAAAAGGAAAATTATTGTCAAAAGGAAAGCTATTGTGGTGTCTTAGCATAATCAGGACATAAAATCACTTTATTCAGTAGTGATTTTAGAGTGGTACTATTTGTTATGGCAACTGATTTTCACTTTAAGGTTTATTCACTGTGATGATAATAGTTAATATTTATTGAAGGCTTATTTATTAATGTTCTTTGCTTTACCTGTATTAAATCATTTAATCTTCTCAGTAACCCTGTGAGGTAGATACGGCTTCTCCTGTTTCACAGATGAGGAAGTTGAGACCTACAGAGGTCAAGGAACTTGCCCAAGGGTGAACAGCTAGTGACCTTTCTGGAGGTGATTCAGATCCCATGTGGTCCCTCTCCCAATGCATGTCCTTATCTACCACCTCCATCATAATAAAATGATCTGCTTTATCAAGTATTTATAAAGTATGAACCAGGCCACTTTAAAATTTTCAGTTATAATTTTTTTTCCTCTTATAATTTTTACTCTAGGTCAATTGCTGGTAAAGAGGCAGTTGCAAATATGACACATCAGAAGAACATCAGTAACCCGCCTGATATGTCAGGGTGGAATCCTTTTGGAGAGGACAATTTCTCCAAGTTAACAGAAGAGGAACTGTTGGACAGAGAATTTGACCTTCTCAGATCAAGTAAGGGACACTTGAAGGCTTATTTTGCTTCACAGTAAAATAACAGCTCTATAATTATTCAGCAAGGCCAAAGACTGTTTTGGAATGGTAAAGAGAAAATTCTTTTTGAGCATTTGAGGGCAAAATTCAGGCCATCTTCTTTTACATATACTATCATACTATCTGTGTGCATTAGAAATCAGTTGCTTGATAGTAGCTATTAATCTTAAGATTACTGATATTATGTTGATTCCTAACACTTAAATACTGCATATCTTTGAATGTTAATTCAGAAACCTCCAAAAAATGGAAAGTTAATGTTCAAATAAAAAGGGAGACATTAGTATCTTGCCTTACTAATCATTTTGCAGCTCTGTTTTCTTGCACACTCGTTAGAAGATTTTGTGGGTCTGAGATGCCCTTTGAAAGTGCCTAAAAGAAAACATGGGCTACTACATTATGTTAATGTTTTGTAATGCCCTTTGAATGAGTGGTGACATAAAAGGGCTGCTTTGTTACCCTGGTATGGCAAAGTGAAATAAATTATTTTCCATCTTAAATCAGATATCTCTATGTTTTTACTTGCAGTCATTGCCTTTTATTAAACTACCTAATACGTATGTCAAACCTCACCATACATACTTTAGAAATTACTTTTTGGAAAAGAGATGTGTGGAGTGTTTTGAGGAGCTTGCAAAACAGTAGCAAAAACTCATTCCTGAAATCTTAAGATAATTACCAGTTTTCTGAGTCTTGGGTGTGTGTGTGAGCATGAGTGCATGTGCCAAGTGTTTTTCCCCATTTTGCATGTGAAAAGGTCATTAGTTACAGTTCCTAGTTTCTATTTTGTTTTTAGGTAACTGGCCTTATGAGAACATTTATTAGGTGAAGTACTTTGTTTCAAATTGATATATATTTTATGTTAAAGTTTATAAATGCCCTGAATTCATGTAAGAATAGTTGTTTGGAATTTAAATTTGTATTTTACTTTTTGGTTATATGATCATGAAAAATTAAATTGATTAAATACAGATATAAAAATGAGTTCTGAGCCTTTAATAAAGGTTTGTTAACTTTGGTAAAACCAATCTTACATTTTTTTTCATTAAAAAAATTATTTTTAAATCACAACATTTTTTGTTTGGCATTTTTCCTACAATTTATGTTGAGTGGTCCAAAAAGCAAGGTTTTTAAAAAAGAAAAGTATCTCTTTCCTTTAGGGAGATGGTAGGGAGATATAGGGAGTAACCAATCATTGTAATTTATAGGATTATTTTTAAAGCAAAAGATGAAATATTCATTTTAATGTATTCTGACCAGGATAGTAATTAAGGTTTGCTAAATCAGTATTTTCTACTCTTTGGGTGAAAACTCCTCTTCACACTGTTTTAAAAAATAAATCAGTGTATGGAATGGGTAAAGTATTCACATTATTCTGTACCTTATAAAAATGTTATTCTAAGCTCTCTAGAATTTATGATGACACCAAGTGTTAGTTACTTTGCATAGGCAGGAATGGCATACAGGTATTCATGTATACTTCATAAAAATTGGATTTAGTTTGTAAAACGCTTAACCAGCTCTTTGCTTCCAAACTTTAAGGTCTACTCACATGTGTAATTTGTGTATGTATTTGTATACACATGTGTATGCCAAAGAGAGTCAGAGTTCACTGCAGTATTAGTTAGGAAAAGATACTAGGTTCCAAATGAAAGTGCAAGAGGAACTTTATCTAAAGGTCAGACTTGGAAACAACTCAGCCATTTGGAAAACCGCCTAGATAGACCCTGAGCTGTTGAACTCATTGTCACAAGGATGATTTACTTAAATTAGCACATAGCAGCAGAAAGCATCAATTCTGATAACCTGGCCATGCCATTTAACTAGATTTAACTCTGTGAAGTCACTTAACTGCTGTTCACTTGCTCATTTATAAACTGGTTATAATGATGCTTATCTCATAGGGTTGTCAAGAAGGTTCAGTAATGTCTTTCAAGAGTCCTGGCACTCCATAAATGCCACTTCCACTTTTCTTACCTTCTGTGTATGTCTTTGGGGTCTTATTTCCGAGGTTATTTTTCTATAACAATCATTTTAAAATCATACCTAAACTGTCGGGTTTCTCAGCTGGCAATTAAAAGACAAATGGAAGGGGTTTTGTGGGCAACATGTCAGCAGCAGAAGTGATTTATGACGGCAGGGAGAGCGATTGAATTCTTCAGGCAAGAACACTGGAGTGGGTTGCCGTTCCTTTCTCCAGGGAGTCTTCCCAGCCCAGGGATCTAACCCAGGTCTTCTGCATTGCAGATTCTTTACCAACTGAGCCACCAGGGAAGCTTTAATAAATAATTGATAGTCACAGTAATGGGGTTCAAAAAAAGTGAGATGTCTTTAATAAAGTTTATGAAGAAATCAGTAATGTATAGAATATAGTTTAGAAAGATTTCCTCTCAGATTTGACTTAATTGTAAACCTGAGTCATCGTTAGCACAGCTTTCACTAACAAGCAATAAGGTATCTAATATATGATCTACTTGATAAGATTTAAATTACACAGATGGATCTCTTCTAGAACCTTGAGTTTCAATACACTAATGGTGTAGTGAAAATTGATTGTTGGTCATTACTGCAAGTTGGTTCCTCTGTCTCGATCAACATTTTCCAAAATGAAGAAATAAATTACCAATGAATTTGAAATACCAAATTTATCTTTTTTATCAGCACAGATATTTATTAACAATTTTTCAAAGTCTTTTTTTTTAAGATTTTTTATATTTGGTTTATGAAAGCTTTCCAGTGAGAAACTGTATACTTTATGTTTGGACCTTAAAAATACTGGCATTGTCCATATAATGATTGTTTAGAATAAAACATTGCCATTTGAAGTTTTATTTTTAAAATAGTATGTGATTATTTATTTTTTAAAAAAGAAAAAAAAGATGTACTGTCTAGGAAATACTCTACTTGTGTGTATTTTGCAGGCAGTAATTCTAAAATTTTGAGATATTAAAATTCTAAGATATTAGTAATTGGTAATTAAAAAACCCATTTCTTAATCATTTTTAAGAAAACAGTGGAATCCAGCTGGCCAAGGGAGTTAACATATAAAATATGAGTCAGATTCTTCTTGCTTTTGCTTTCAGTGTAACAATACTTATGATTTAGAATTTTTAACCTGTTCCTATTTAAGACCAAAATATTACATTGAAATTAAGCATTATTAATAAAGCTAGTCTCAATATTTTTTTAAAATTTAAACTTGTATTTTTCATGGTCTTTTGTGTCAAAGCATTCAGATTCATATGTTAACTTTAGAAATCTAATTGTCGTAATCTTTAATACACTAAGCACTAATTAGAATACGGGTGTTTGCTTTGGGAAAATTTAACTTGCCTTTGAATAGTTGTGTAGCTCTACACATTAATTAAAAGTAATACTTGATGATATGTTTTCTTGTTTATGGATTTATTGTTTATTTCTGTTTAAAATTGCATCAAAAGGAAATTGCATAAAAGGAAGAGTCGAAGAAACTAAAATCTGTGGCTCCTTTGCATATTCTACTGAATGTGCATTTTTTTTCCTCTGAAGCCACAGTATGAAATAGATATTGGTATGAAATAACTAATATGAAATGCTAATTAATATTAGTATTAATTAGTATTAATATTAATTAATATTAGCATGAAATACTAATATGAAATACTAGATATTAGTATGAAATAGATATTAACATCAGTATATAAGACATCAACTCTCACCATTTTAACCTGATTCAGACCTATTGCTGTTCTTTTATGGCAGAATAACAGAACTTTTTAGACATATTAGAATGGTGTCAAAGTATCAGATGATGACTCTACTCTTAAATGTTATTTTTTAACTTTTTGGCTGTTCAAGCCATTATCCACCCATATAAGCTGTTGAATTAACTTTTTAGAGTATATTCATTTTCTGATGATATTATGGAATATAATTTGATTCTAAAATTTAAAAATTGTCTATTTTTGCCATCTGTATCTATTAAAATCCTTGAAAAAATACTGTCTTCATTCAGCACAAATATTTTGGGAAGGCAGGAAGAGGTAAGTTTCAAATTAAGCTTAAGTTTTACATTAATGAAAAGAAGACAATTCAGAAAAAGAAAACAAAAATTCTTTGAAAATGGAGCTTAAATACATTTTAGGGGTGACTTGGTATTTGAAAAGTAACTCTACATACCATTTCATTAGTTTTTATTTATATGTAGTTGATAATTTAAAAAATTAATATGTCTATTGTTTTATTTTGTGCCCTGGGATTCAGATTATCATGTGAACTTTAGAAATCTAAATGTTTTTAAAAAAAGTCTTTCTTGGAAAAATTTATCCTGTTTTGTGGAACAGTGAGAACATGATTCACTTGAGAGTGAGTTTATTCTGCTTCCTGATTTGAAATAATTGGATACATGAACTTTGTACAGAACAGTATTTTCACATTTTTAATTATGGGGATGCCATATATAAAAAAAAATACTACTCCTACATGGTAGTGTTTGTATTTTTTCATAGTATAAAAAGCATTTGTTACTGATCTCCTGAATTAAGGTTACAATGAATATTCTGAAAAAACATCTAAATTGAATTTTCATTGCTTTCCATTTCTGTATTGGATTTGAAAATAACCTCTTGAGTTTTGGAAGTTTTATTTGTATATAAATTAATCAGTTGTCAGGTTTGTTGCCTTGAAATATTAGTGTTTCATTCAAAATTTTAAGTAAAAATTTAAATAACCTGAAGTTTCATGTGGATATTAATAGAGTTAGTTCTAGCCATAAAACTAATAATTGTATCATAAAGGTGTTTCAAGGATCAGTTGTCCATAGCAATAATTAAGTATTTTCAAGATACCATAGACTCTAGAGCCTTGCCTTCTCAAACCTGCACTCCCTGGACCAGCAGTATCCTGGCATCTGGGAGCCTGTTGAATTGAGAATCTCAAGATCCGTTGCAGAACCATCCAGTCCGAATCTGCATTTTAACAACTCCCCAAGTGTTTAGAATGCACATTAAATTTGAGAAGCACTGTCCTAAGAGGTTGCTGTTTTATCTTGGGGCTTTTTACCTCACTCTGCAGTTACAAGTCTTTTTAGAGAAGTCTAATTCTATCTGGATTTTCTCTCCGCATCCTGCCATCCCTTAGAACTCACAGGAAATCAGGATAGTTTACCCGTGTGTGTGTGCGCGCGCGCATGTGCACTGACGATTAGTCCTGGCTGACTCTGCAACTCCATGGACTGTAGCCCACCAGGCTCCTCTGTCCATGGAATTTTCCAGACAAGAATACTGGAGTGGATTGCTATTTTCTTCTCCAGGGGATCTTCCTGACCCGGGGATTGAATCCATGTCTCCTGCATCTCCTGCATTGGCAGGCAGTTTCTTTACTGCTGAGCCATCTGGCCTGGGAAGAAGCCAGTTTACCCATAGAACTCCTAAACATGAAAGGAGTAGTCCTGGGAATGCTTAACATGTCTGTAAGAGTAGCATGGGTCTGATTATCAAGAAACAGAGGATAAAGAGACATTTTACAGAAATCCAGAAGTTGTCAACTGATAAAGTGCCTGTGTTGTGCAGAGTTTAGGGGCAGGGAACAATGATCACCACTAGGCAATCAGGATATACTAGATCTTCAAACATACCAGACCTGCTCCTGCGTTTGAGCCTCTGCTCTGGCACTTTCTTTGCCTGATGTGTTCTTCCCCAGGAATCCACTTCCGCCTCCTGGGAATCTTTTCTCAACAGGCATCTGTTAGCATCACTCCATTTCACTGTGTTGATTACTGCAACCTGTGCCCGCTCCTTTATTTCCTTTTACCTCGCTCTACATATTTCTCTCTAGCTTTGTTTTTAAGTCTGTATTCCTCATGTTTCTTTCTTGTTAGTCGTTCTTCCATGCCAGCATGTAACCTCCACGAGGGCAGGAATCTTCTTTTTGTTTGCTGTTGTATGCACATGCTCTAGAACAGTGCCTGGCACATATTAGATGCTCAACTATTTATTGAATGAAAAAAAATGAATTCTGTTAAGGCTTTTAATTTAATAGAGAAATGTCTATATATTTGTATGTATGAGGATGGTTTAACCAAGTAATGTGAGAAATGAACAGTAACACAAAATAAATTAACATCCAGTGAATTGCATTTTACTGCTATTGAAAAATATGATTTACCTCTTATGAATAAATGACTATTTGTATTTTTTCTATGCGTATTTTTAGAGAAAGTTTGCCAAATATGTCTCTGTTTAATAATTGGGGTTTAACTTCAGATCTAATATGTTATAAGTTAAAGATAACTGTTGTTTAAATAATTAGTCAACCTAAGTTATTTGTTAGGTTAATTATATTTAGTGAAATCTAGCACTGTGATTATATTGTAGAAACAGATGCGTATTTAAACTCAGGACTACCCCTTAATACTTAAACAAATGAACTTTAAATCTCATATTTTTCAAGAAGGCTGTTGCTTTGTTTAATTTTCACTTTTATTTGTACTGTGTGCCACTTTTTTAAAAATTTAAAGATCATTTTGTTTTTATTTTATTTTTTGTTTTGTTCATCTTATTTTTGCAGACAGGCTCGAGGAAAGAGCATCCTCAGATAAGAATGTAGAGCCACTTTCTGCTCCATATAACCATCCTCCAGAGGATCCTTTTGGTTCTGTTCCTTTCATTTCTCACTCAGGCAAGTTACATATGTAACATCATCACTATCATTAAAACACACACACAAGAACAGTAGTAACAAAGGCAAAAACCCTTATAAAATCGAAGTAGAAATCAGATGTTAGTTAGAGAAAATAGAACAGAAAATTATTTTAGCCTCTAGCTATCCTAGTTTTCCTAATGTTCTTTCCATTGGGTTATTTAATTTGTGCCTTTTGCTGACAGGTTAAAAATGCTGATTTGCATAGTAGAATATTAACTGTTTCTTTCTACTTTTACCATTGGATACTGTTTTCAACCGTTGGATACTGTTTTCATGCATGAAAATATCTCCCCCTTTTATATACTTGAAATACTTTTAAAGACATTTTTATACTTAGCTTTTGTTTAAAAATCCTCTTTTCCGAGTTTATACATGCTCTCCTGTAGCTGCATTTTAAAAGTATTAGTAACTTTCTGTTTGTCACAACTTGTAACAAATTACCTAATCTTTTCTTCTTATTCCTTCTTTGATTTCAATCCAGAGTTTAAATATTGTTATTATTCACCATTTAAGAATACTTGTAATAATATTTTCAAAGTAATTGCCTAGTTAACACTGTTGAATATACAAGGATGGAATAGGATCCCACTTTGGCATAAATGGATTTGTGTGTATGGTTATATTATACTGGAAAAACTGAGTTTAATCTTAGAGAAAGGGAGTGTGGTGGAAGAAGTCACGCTTTACCAGAAGGTAGAGATTTTGTTTAATATATTCAAGGTAATTGTCTACCATGTTCTTTGGTTCTGTTTTGTTTATTTCTCACTTAGGCAAGTTATATGTGTGACTTCATCACTACCATTTAGAAACATTCATACAGAGAGAGCAATAACAAAAGAAAAACGTGAATGTAAACCCAAAATAAGATATAGGTGTTCAGGATTTCTGATAATGCATCAAATGCCTTTCAGATTTGGTTATCCAGAACACTGCACAGTAACTAAGTGTTTCCTGGAGGGTTTCTTTATCTTAAATTGGGGATGATATTAGATACTTGATGAGATTATTGAAAGGATTAAATGAGAACATGTTAATAGAAAACACTGTTGGTTGCTGTTGTGACTGTTGTTATTGGTAGTGTTATTAAATAGTATTTTTACTACTTACTACTGAATTCCAAAATCTTAAGTGTTCAGTAAGTTTTGTAGCTGCTATCCAACTAGTAGTAGTACAGAGTTCCAGTAATAATAAGCAAATTAACTACTGAATGAAATCTTTTCATGAAATGTAGACTCAGTTTATGAAGCTGTTCCCCCACCAAGGACAGTTTTAACAGTACTATTTCTATTTTTATTAAAGCATTCACTACCAGTATTCAGTACAGTATACACATATATATATCTGTTAAAAGCATATGGTATTCATTCCTGGTCTTGAAATGCGCCCAGCCTTCCTTCTCCCTGAGACATTGTTGTTAGTTTGTATACTAACATGGGATGTGTGGCTCTGTGAGTTACGGCATGGACTATCTAATTTTAATAAACACCCTCAGCTTCTGAAACACAGAGTTTAAACAATTCTGTAAATTAAATTCTAGATTTCTTGTGTTACATTTCATTTTTAATTAGGTTTGGTGAACTTCCCTTACTCTCCCTAACTGTAACCTACCTCTTGGATCTTGTTATCTAATATGAAGTTAAATTGAATTTAAGGATGGGAAAGGTCACATTGTATATAGCAAATACTTATTAAAAATAAATTATCACAGATTGTCAGTCCAAATGCTGGATCATTGTATAAGCCATGATGAGTTACATCATTTATACCTTTAGAGTCTAGTGATTCCTTTTTTTTTTTTTTAAATTTTTTCCTTGAAATTGTTGTTGTTCAGTCACTCATTCGTGTCTGACTTTGTTACCGCATGGACTGCAGCATGCCAGGCTTTCCTATCCATCACCAGCTCCTGGAGCTTGCTCAAACTCATGTCCATCTGGTTGGTGATGCCATCCAACCATCTCATCCTCTGTCGTCCCCTTCTCCTACCTTCAATCTTTTCTCAGCATCAGGGTCTTTTCTAATGACTCAGATCTTTACATCAGGTGGCCAAAATATTGGAGCTTTAGCATCAGTCCTTCCAATGGATATTCAGGACTAATCTCCTTTAGGATGGACTGGTTGGATCTCCTTGCAGTCCAAGGGACTCTCAAGAGTCTGCTCCAACACCACAGCTCAAAAGCATCAATTCTTCAACACTCAGCCTTCTTTATGGTCCAACTCTCACATCCATACATGACCACTGGAGAAACCATAGCTTTGACTAGACAGACCTTTATTGGCAAAGTAATGTCTCTGCTTTTTAATATGCTGTCTAGGTTTGTCATAGCTTTTATTCCAAGGAGCAAGCATCTTTTAATTTCATGGCTGATGCTCTTAATTTCTCCACATATGAATATGAGTTATGAAGTTATTCCATAATGAGTAAGTATGAGCAACTGTTAAGAAATCAAGCACAGTCTTTTATTGTGAGCACTTCCTTGGAATGCTCCCTACCTTCAGGTTCTAATTAGAACTTGTAGATTCTACTGATTCTTGAAGATCAAGAATTTTCCTCTTCTAGAATTTCAGCAGTAGTTACTACTGTTGGATCCTACTATATACACACAACAGAAACTGAGGCTCTGAAGTAGGGGCAAGTGACTTGCCTAAGATCAGATAGTTATAATCCAGCTCTGGCTAATGTTAATCTCTGTTCTGTAAAAATAGCAAAATGAAACTGTTGCATGACTTTTTTTTTAAACCAGTGTTCAGTATATATTCTGTTCTGTGTGAATCACTTGTAGATGGGATTTTGATTTATTGTGGAAAGAAGTGAACTCCATGTCCTAATTGTCCACCATCTTGATTTCCCAAGTGTCCAGTGTCTTGTTCTAAATAAAAACCTACAGTAAGAGGAGTAACATAATAGAAATGTCAGTTCTATGGCATTTTTAATCTGGCTGGAAAATATTACCCACATCTAGTATGATTCTCTTCTTATACTCAGGCCTTGTTACTTGGCTCTGTGTTCTGAGAAATTGTACAGATTTTGATAAAACCTTCTAATCTCGTAATCCTTGGGTCTGGTGGGGTAGACTGCTGAGAAATGATGGCAGGCAGTATGCTTCCAATTCCCAGTCTCATAGCCCCTCCCTTATACCCTAAATGATGAGACAGCAGAAGGCATGTAATTACAATAGCAGTTTCAAGCCACTCATCCTCTATAATCCGATAGCAAGGAAAAGAACATCAAAATTTTCTTGAAACTGGAAGCTTCTTAAATGATTAAAAATGTACCACCTGCTTTATAAGTAAAAGAAGTGTCCTCTCGAAGATGGAAACCTGATTAAAAGAGTGGTAACATGAATGGTAAGATGCAAATATTCCCCTCTCCTCACACTGTTTCAGATGTATTCTAAATATTTTAAGTTTTTAAAATTATTCATATAGTTTATATATAAAACTAAAGATAAAATTTATATAAAGGTTCATTTATGTGGTTTAAGAATACATTTGCAATATTTATTTAAAATAGTGTGGCATCAGGACTTTCCTAGCAGTTCAGTGGGTTAAAACTTCACATTTCCAATGCAGGGGCTGTGGGTTTGATCCCTGATTGGGGACCTAAGATCCCACATGTCATGTGGCTCAGTCCAGAAATTAAAAAAACAAAAACAATATATATATATATGTATATATAGTGTGCCATTAACTAGGATTTCATTCTTTATACAAGTATTTGTTTAAAAAATACTAATAAGTGTATGAAAGTATGAAAATTGAGAAATTTTAGCTTCTGAGTTTGGAATCTTCTTCTTTTGGACACTGAAAGACTATGATGTCTTTGAAATTTTAATATCTAGAAATATCTTTTTATGAAAATTCAAGCTTGAAATAGATGAATTCATGTTCTTAAATTCATTTGGTTAGGTAAGCTCGTTTTTCAGAATCTCCAAATAGCTTTTACCTTGTTCAGTCATTTTCCAGATCACTAGAATCAGATTAGTATGTATTTTTCACAACTGTTGGCTTAGATGGTAAAGAATCTGCCTGCAATGTGGGAGACCTGGGTTCAGTCCCTGGGTTGGGAAGATCCCCTGGAGAAGGAAATGGCAACCCACTCCAGTATTCTTGCTGAAAAATTCCATGGACAGAAGAGCCTGACAGGCTATGGTCCATGGGGTTGCAAAGAGTCTGATTCAAGTGATCAACTAACACACTTTCACAATTGTTTAAATGAATGATAAGTACCTTGAAGTTAGGAAGTAATCATATCTTTGTATGCTGTATAATACCTTGTTGAATGAATTCACTATCAAAGTGTACTTTGGTAATCTAATATAAACTTTCTATCACATACCCTAATATTTAATGAGTTTTCACTAGATAAGATGGATTTTATAAATGTTTAGCTCTATCAGGTAAGTTCGATTATTGCCTTTATTTCCTCATTCCGTATATGAGGAAATTGAGACTTTTTTGGATGTCTGTCTTCCATGGATTTTGTAAAGTCGTATGTGCTTTCATTTGTTGATAAAGCCTTAATAGTATTTCTAGAACTTAACCCTATGGTGAGTGAAAGTTGCTCATTTGTGTCCGACTCCTTGCGACCCCATGGACAAGATAGTCCACGGAATTCTCCAGGCCAGAATACTGGAGTGGGTAGCCATTCTCTTCTCCAGGGGACCTTCCCAACCCAGGGATCAAACCCAGGTCTCCCCACATTGCAGGCGGATTCTTTGGCATCTGCGCCACCAGGGAAGCCTGAGAATACTGGAGTGGGCAGCCTATCCCGTCTCCAGGGGATCTTTCCAACCCAGGAATCAAACCTGGGTCTCCTGCCTTACAGGTAGATTCTTTACCAGCTGAGCTACCAGGGAAACCCTATATGATTAAGATATTTATCATAGTGGTCAACAAACACTGTTTGCTGAAATAGAAGCAATACCATTCTCATTCCATAATTTTTTTGTTTCTTTTTAAAAAAATTTTCAGACATAGGTTTGTAAAGGGGGATATAAAAGAAACATAAGGCAAGCCTGTGGTTATATTTTGTAAGGGGTCAGTTCTAAGCTATACTGAATGTTTGCTGGTGTTGATATTCTCCTGGTAGTTTATAGAATTTACAGAAGAGAGTTTTAAACTAGTGTCATCAGCAGAGAAGTAACTGGGCCTTAAACTTGGACAAGTCATTCAGCTTTTCTCTAATTTCAAATTACTTTTATGTTAAAAGAGATTGGACTTGTCTTTAAAAATCTCTTCTTGTTTTTTTGTTTTCAACATGTAGTTGAAACTATGAAACAGGATTAAGATCACCAAAAGAAAGAAACAAGAAGAGAAACGAGAAAGCCAGGGAAAGAGTGTCGGTTGGTAACATGGAATATCTTCAAAATGGTAGGAAGTCATGACAGTGACCTGATATAGAAAGCAAGGGGAACATTTTTGAAGATGTGGTTCATAAGACTGAAGGGGAAAGATTGTAGCAAAGCCAGCTTACAGAGCGTTTTCACCCTAATGTTACTGTGGGAGCTTAAATGGTGGGGAGTTAAGAGATAATGTATGAAAACCCCTCAGCACTTCATTCGCACTCAGGACAGTATTAGTTACTGTCTTCTCTGATTCATTTCTCAGGACCGTTAGTAGTGTGTAGTAGGTACTCCATAATCATGAAATGATGGTGTAAGACAGCACAATAGGATAGCCCTTTACTGAGCGCCTACAATGTGCCGGCACTGTTGCAAGCACTTTACCTGTACTCGCTTTAATCTCTGCCGCAGTTCTCCGAGGCGGACACTACTGCAGATGAGGACACTGAAACGCTAAGTAATACCTGACTCCAGTGGGAACACGAATCATCAAAGGACACTTTGATGAAGGGAGGGAAGTATGCTATGTATTCTGATATGGGCAGTTACCAAATGGTTAATTTGGTATTTAACTTATTTAGTAAATACTTATTTTATTCGTAGTACTAAATAATTGAAGCACCGTTTTGTTAGCTTTGAGTTACTGTTTGACATTTTATACAGAGGTATGTTAAGCCATAAAGCAGTGAGAATTTATGTGTCAGTAGGTACTGGTTCTGTTGACACTTCGTTGACTTCCATGGTTGGTTTTTTTTTCCTCCAATACATGGAATTTCCCCGAGGAGACAAGTTCATATGCCACACTGAATTTAGACTTCATAAAGTCATTGCTGTTCTTCATACTTTACCTGCATCTGTGTTGTCTGCTTTAGTCACTCACCTTCTTCTCAGGATTTGGCTCCAATTAGATTTTGGCTGTTTCCAGTAATCAAACCCAACCTCAAAAGATGAGGATTACTCAAAAAGCTGGAATTGTTACAGTTTGTAGTTCCAAGGCACAAAGTGGAGAAAAAAGCACCTTGACTGGAAGCCAGCAAATATGCTATAGTTCGTTTAAGAAGACGGTGCTACTAAGAGCCCAAAATAAAAATTAGTCAGTATATGACATTTTATGGTGTATTACCGATATCAGTTAATAAGAAGAATGTAACTGAGATGTGATCCTGAACACGTTGTAGACATTTGTTTATGCTTTAAGTACATGTTCCTGGTGGTTATTGAAAATACTGTAACTCACCTTTTACCTACCTGAAAACCAGCCATGTTTACATTAATAATACAAATCTCAGTAAATAAAGGGATTATCAGGGTTTGGGATATTGAATTGTAAAGCAACATATTTAGGCTATCCTTTAGGGAAATTAACTTAAGCAGTGAAATAATCCTGATTTAAATTTTATAGCAAATCAAATGTGTAATATTTGCTTTAACAACTTGGAAAAAGCAATCTGGCACCAAGAGCAAGCAGTAGGAATATCTGAATTTTTTTAATTACAGGAATATGTTTAGGCAAAGAAATAGGTTGAAAAAGTTGATGGCACTCAGCTATGAAGTTACATTTTAAAGAACTATAAATTGTACAGTTAGTAACCAATTTTATAACTTGGTAATTCTTATTTTAAGTCTTTTATGTCTGTGGAACAGGACTAAAAGTCTTAGAATATATTGAAATTATTTAAAAAAATTTTTATTGGAGTATATTTGAATTATGATGTTGTATTACTTCCTATTGCACAGCAAAGTCGATCAGTTATACGTGTACATACACCTACTGTTCTTTAGATTCTTTTCCCATAAAGGCCATTAGAGTATTGAGTAGAGTTCCCTGTGCTATACAGTAAGACGTTATTAATTATTTATTTTATATATAGTAGTGTGTACATGTTGATCCGAATCTCTCATTTATCCCTCCCTCCTTCAATTTCCATTTCTTTCTCAGTTTTTTTTTTTTTTTTATTATTATCACTTTGCACCAGAGAGAGGACAATTAAGTAGATGGCTGTTGTTACAGAGAGTAAAACCTTATCTGGGATGGTTGAAACTTGCAGCTTTGGAGTTTACCTTTTCCCTAGCAAGGGGTGGTGCAGAGCAGTGACCGCTTGTGTTTAACTTTGGGCTTCATGGTGCTTAGTATTTGCATTGCTCTTAGGATGCTGGCAGAGAGGCCTGTTGCTGCTCTTTCCTCCGCACTAGGTTATGAAGGAATGGAAGGATGAAGAAGCAGAGAAACATTTCAGCAGGGTCAGGGTGGGTTATGATCATATGGGAGAAAAAAGGAATTTGGAAAATATTTTTGATTGCTTGTTTTAGCTTTCTGAAGGGGTGACGATAAAAGAAATAAAACCAGTCTGTCTACACCAACCAGAAATTTCCCCAGTTGCCCATACTTTTCAGAGATGTAATCTGAAACCATAAAGCCAGGATAGATCATTGCATGTGTCTTTTCATGTTCTTTTTGAAAGCGTTCCTTTCATTTTCCGATATTGTGCTTTTAACTATAGCTATTTAAAAACCAGAGATACAGTTTCCAGGATCCAAAATGCACCCTTGTGGTGTGTGAATATACATTTGTTTGCCTGGTTATTTGTTTGGACCTGAGTCACTCTTGAATTATCCATAGAATTGCACCCTCTTGTATCCTGTCCCTGTTCTTCCCTCTCATTTAAGTCTGTCTTCAACCATTGAGCCCAGAAAAGTAGGCGGGAAGTTGGAGTATGATGTGTGAGATTACTGAGTTTTGCCTTGTCCTGGAGATGACAGTTAAACACTTTATCAAGTGCTTTTGTGTCAGGCACTATTTTAAGTCCTTTCTTTACAATAGTCCTATAAATAGAACCTGTTGTTATTGTATTATTCTCTTGTAATATGATAATATGTATTCTCTCATGTATGAGGGAACAGACTAGAGGATTTAGCTGTGGTCTTAGTAGTTAACAGTTAGCCCATTAACTAGGTTAACTTTATTAGCTGTGTATTAATCATGCATAAGGAAGGAATAACAGTAAATCAAAAAAATGAAATTATTAGTAAAAACAGGCTTTTTTCTCCCCCTCAAAAAGTGCATGATCATAGTTCTATTTAAAATCCAAAAAACTAGAAACAACCTAGAGGTTCATTCTATAGGTTTATAGTTAAATGTTATACATACAATGTTTTATTACATCTCTATCAGAATTACTAATGGACTATATTGAAACCTGTAAAGATGCTTTAAAAATGGTAAGTGGAAATCCCCACAAATTTATATCCATACTAACAATTTAAAAAGTAGATCTGTATAGCGCTTTACAACAAAGAGATACACAGTCTGTATTAATGCAACTTTGAGAAGCTGACAAAAGGCAGAGTAGGAAGTAGAAAGTGACAAATGTGTTTTGGAAAGCAATGTTGACAATTTGGGTAAAGGAAACAATTTAGAAGACTAGAATTAATATAAGAATACCCAAAGTAGGTCAGTTGGAGGACCTCTGTCCTGAGTTAAATGTTCCAGAAGACTTCTAGGAACAGAACTCAGTGCCCTAGAAATGGAAAATTTTCCAGGGGAATTAATAGAGCAACATTTCCCCTGAGTGCTTTGTGCAGAATTGTATATAAAGCTTAATAGGTGTTAATGTGTAAATAAAAGTGTTCGTAGTGAAGGAAGTTGGGGAAACTAGGTTTCATTAAGTCACATTCTTTTTGTGTACGACATGTCCGCACCTTTGGTTTGATGGGCATTGTCCAGATTTGTGGTGGTGGCGGTGGGGGGGAGGGGTTACATTATAAATGTATACTCAGTTGCCTGAGACCACAGAACTGTTAGGTTCTTATGGGAATAGCATTCTGCACTTTAGGGAAGATATTGGACTGTTCCTGGAGGTGTCCGCGAGCAGGAATGAGGGGTGCATGTTGTGGCTCTCTGTGGTAGGCAAGTCGCCTGAGGAGTAATATGTTAGCATGTCTCTTAGAGGGACTATCCCACTAAAGATAGTGAGGGATGGTTGCAAGTCTTTACCATTACATTTTTGCTTTGAGATAAAAATTCATGAAAATAAATGCTCTTGCTAATCTAAAAGCACACTTTCTTTTTAATATCAGAAGTCTGCTATATGAAGTCATGTGAGAATCCGCATTTGACTAGATTTTAATCTGTTAGGATTTAAGATAAGCTTATTATGAATATGTAAAGATACAGCATATAGCTCTTGGCTGGTTTCAGGGAACTGGCAGATGAATAATGCATGAAAATTATGTTTGTGTTTAAGTATAACTGATGGAAATCTCTGCATCTTCTCTCCCCCTCACTAGGTTTCCTCCCCGTTCCCGGCTTCAAGGTTGTCAGCAACCTGCATGAAACTAGAGCCAGTGGCCATTTCCATTGTCAGTTTACTGGACCTCTTTGCATCACCCAGCCCTGTGGTCAGTTCCCTCCCCTGGGAACACTCTCCTCTCAGCTTAGGGGACATGGCACTCACCTGGCTGTGGTCCTCCTCTCTGGCACTTTCCTGTTTGCATTGCAGGTCCCTCTGTTCAGACTTGTGCCTCTCTCTGTATAGTGATGCCTCCCTAGTCTTACTTTCTCCAGCCAGAAACTAACCATGGTGCTTAAGCCACAGATACTTTGCTCACACTTAACTATCTCATAGATACTTCAAGCTTTGTGTCCAGACCAAATTCTTGATAATCTCCTCTACTTCCCAGTGTATTCTTGCCTCTTTTCTTCTGTATTAAAGGCATTACCATCCATCCAGAGTTTTCCTTTCCAATCTCTTAATTCTGCCACTTCTGTTTTCCCTGCCACCATAACTTCTAACTTGGTGTTTGTCGCTCAGTTGCATCTGACTCTTTGTGACCCAATGGGCTGCAGCCTGCCAGGCTCCCCATCCATGGAATTCCCCAGGCAAGAATACTGGAATGTGTTGCTATTTCCTTCTCCGGGGAATCTTCCTGACCCAGGGATCGAACCTGGGTCTCCTGCATTGCAGGCAGATTCTTAACCATCTGAGCCACCAGGGAAGCCCAGCTTCTAACTTGAGTGACAGTTTCCTCTCCCTGATCGGTACTTTTGCAGCCACCCCCTTCAGTCTTTTTTCTCTATGGCAGTCACTTAATCTTTTTGACATGTAAATCTGATTATTGCACTTTAAATAATTCGTGACAGTTCCCCTATTACGCACTGAATTTATTCTTATCATGGCCTTAGAGGGACCCTCACGATCTGGTCCTTCCCCCTTTCCTTCCCTCCTCATCTCGCGCAGCATCGCCCTTGGTCACTGTGCTCTGAGCACACTGATCTATTTTCAGTCCTTCAAACACGCCAGCCACCCGTCCTTGACTTGGTCCTCACACATGCCGGAGCTCTTACTGGAGCACCTCTCTGCTTGCCCTCGGTGTGGCTGGCTTCTCCTCACATAACTGTCTTAACTGTCACCTCCTTAGGGAGGCCTGGGGCAACTGTGCAGCCTAGCTTCATGCACCCTTCCCCCTGCCCCACGACTTAACACCTCTGCTCTCTTATTTCAGAGCGCTAGTCACACGTCCCTGGTGGCTCAGAGGTTAAAGCGACTGCCTGCAATGCGGGAGGACCGGGTTTCATCCCTGGGTCGGGAAGATCCCCTGGAGAAGGAAATGGCAACCCACTCCAGTGTTCTTGCCTGGAGAATCGCATGGACAGAGGAGCCTGGCAGGCTACAGTCCACGGGGTCACAGAGTCGGACACGACTGAGCGACTTCACATACTCTGAAACTCTTCAAGGCAGGGGCCGTGTTTGTTTTATTCACCAGTGTTATGCTCAGTACATATCACATAGTAAAGAGCTTCCCTGGTGGCTCAGTGGTCAAGAATCCACCTGCCAGTGCAGGAGACATGGGTTCGATCCCTGGGTCAGGAAAATCTGGAGGAAATGACAGCCCATTCCAGTATTCTTGCCTGGGAAATCCCATGACAGAGAGAAGCCTGGCAGCCTACGGCCTGTGGGGTCACACAGAGTGGGGCGTGACTTAGCAACTAAATAACCGACTACCCTATAGAATGTTTTGTTGAATCAAGAAAATGTGACTGGATTCTAAGCTAAGAACTCTGAAGGTGAAGTTTCTTTTTCTGTGTAGCTTTCTTGATTGCGTTCTGAATGTATTAGATATGTACGTCTGTAGCTGTGAGCTTACAGTCGTTACTTGTTTTGCGTAACATATATTGATTGATTGAGCACAGCAGTAGGGAATAATCTATGAGGTAAATGATAAACAGGCCTGGGTCTAAAGTAGGTGCTACAATTAAGGCTTGTACGAAGCTCATCGGGGGGACCAAATATAGGTGTTTTTTGAGCCCTCAAAAGGGCTCTGACATGGGCTAGGTTTTAGAATACAGCCAGGTACCCTGTGCAAGTCAGGTGGGAGTGGATGCTAGAAGGGCGTTCATGCTGAGGGCCGGTATCACATGTGAGAGGCTAATAGGACAGTGCTCCTTGATCCCCAGATCTATTAATTTCCTTGGTTTGAGTAAACTTTTAACAGTTTAGACAGCAAAAGAGTCCCAAAACCCTTGTCCACATCTGTTCAGTTTCTGAATTTGAGCAGGGAGAGTTTCGGTGTGGCTATAATGAGGATACCCATGGGAGACATCAGGGTCTGAGGCTCACGGCGTCGGAGGACAGAAGCCAGGTAGAGAAGGGCCCTGTGTTGGGCTGTGGGTGGAGACTTTAGAGAGACACTGAAGGGTTTCAGCAGTAGCCACGTGATCAGTACTTTGACAAGGTCATTCTGGTGACAGTGTAGAGGATCTGCCTTGAGGGACATGGGACTGAAGGCAGGCAGGCAAGCTGCGAGCCTGTGGAGTTGCTCGGTGATGATGAGAGGGTGGGATACACAGCTGGTGGAGGGAGAAGAGGGACCAGACCCCTGAGATTTTAAAAACGCTGGTGGGAAGGGGAAGATGGTTTCCAGATTTCTGCTAGTGTGAAGAATTCGGTAGATGGAGATATTCATTACTTTAGAGGGAACTGGTGAGGAGCACATTTTAAGAGAAAAGATCTCCTTTGAAATTACTGAGTTTAAAGTAATGGTAGAATATATATATATATATATATATATATATATATATAAATATATTCATGATAAGAGTATTAGGTGACTAGGGTAGGTGAGTATGCATGGTAACTATTAGAGATCCAGTCATATAAGCGCTGATTAACATACAAGTAGTTAGGACCCAGGGGAGGACATTCAGAGGGAGAAAGGCAGTCCAGGATAGCACCCTGGGGAGCATCTGTGTTTAAGGAGATATTTGTGAAAGGGAAGTTGCTAACAAATTTGAACGAGAGGGAATAGTCAGAGAGGTAGGAAGACAAGTGTGCTGACTTTCAAAGAGAAGGGAATAACTCAGAGGTGTCCTGTACCATGAGGACCACCATTTAATCATGGGAAAGTAATAGCCCATCCATCATAAGGTATTTAGTTTTCATGACTAAAGACTATACTTCCAAGCCTAGCTAATTGTTGTGAAAATATCTGATCTTAGAGGGGAAGGGATGAATGGATATATGATTGGATCAATTAAAATTGTTTCCTACTTCTGGAAAATCAATTCAGTACACCAGTGTATTGAGAGGGCCATATATTTTCATATAAACTAACATACTCTATCTTTACTATGTATGTATCATGCAGTGAAATTGGAGAACACTGTTTGATGTATTTTTGTCACCTACCATACAGTAAATATACTGACAGTTAACATTTTCATTAAGGTAGAGGGCTTTTAATACAGGGTCTACTAGTACAGGTATGACAGTTAAAGGAAGATGTGTTCTCTTGGGAAGGCAGATGTCCTTGATACTGTCTCAGTTCAGTAACTGGTCCTCAGCTTGGACTGGGCTATGAGGATGTGCTCATGTTCACCCAGCCTATAAGATACTTATTCACAGTAAAATCCCAGAATGCCAATTTTAAATAGTACAGTGAAACATATCTAAGCAGATAAGCTATTCATGCTTGTTGATCTCCATAGGAAAACCTTCTAACAGAGTCAAAATAGAAGCAGAAGCTTGGGGTGAATGGGGAATCTGAGCAGGGCAATTGCCTGGATAGTCTTAATTTTGAAGCTGGGAGAAGAAAATTTGCTTGTGTACCATATTCAGAGTCCTATTCTGGGTACTATAAGACAGCTGTCAGTGACCACCTGTGGTGAGTAGGTGGTGTGTAGGGTAGAGACACAAATCTGTCGGTCTTCACTTGAAGGACCTAACCATAGACTAGGGCCAAGTGCTTTCGACCAGCGCCCAACCACCGCCCGCCGCGCCCCCC